TGTATTCCAAAAAAATGTACATTAAAAACCGCTTCAACATAATAAGAATAATTGCATATAAAACAACTATTAAACAAAGTTCACCTAATCGTCATAGAATGCTCCATAACTTTCCACAACATTAAGGTGAGTTTCCACTCATCCGTTTTTAATAGGATAGGAAAGGGAAAAATAATCATGTGAGCATGCGTAATTTTACTACGTATACCCACGTGATTATTTTTCCCGTTCCCGTGAAAAAACGGATGAGTTGAAACTCGCCTTAAAATATTAAAACAAAGTTTTCTGAGCTCAGCTGAGCGCAGTAGGTGCTAGGGTTTTTATTATAAATGATATCCAACTATTTATAATTAAAAAAAAAATAAAGATGCACTAAGAATGGTTTTACATTTTTATTCGTTTAGATTTTGTTAAAACCTATTTTAAATAGCACTTCTAAAGGCGAGTTTCCACTCATCCGTTTTTTTACGGGAACGGGAAAAATAATCACGTGGGCATGCGTAGTATAAGTTTTAATATGTCTGAAAGAAAACTACGCATGCTCACGTGATTACTTTTGCCTTTCCTATCCCGTTTCCGTGAAAAAACGGATGAGTGGAAACTCACCTTAATACATATAATTTAAAGTTGTGCTTGCGTAAAGGTAAGTGCTAAAAAAGGTTGCGCGTATTAGAGGGGTTTTTTTGAAAAACATTTTGAAAAAATGCATGCATAAAAATAAATTTTCACATTTCTTCTTCTTATTTCAATATATGTGGTCTATGGACTAATATACGCTGTAAAGAAATTAAAATGTTTAAAAATTGTCTTACTGGCCTCATATTTGTTTTTTATGTAATTAGTTCATTTTGATCAATATTTGATCATATTTGTTTTTGTAATGTTTATGTAATTAGTTCATTTTGATCAAATTTTGATCATATTTGTTTTTTATGTAATTAGTTCATTTTGATCAATATTTGAAAAGTAAAATATAGCCATTTTTGAGGTAAAAAAAGGTATACTGAGCTCAAAAGTCATAGTAGGGAAAAAATTATATCAGTTTTAAAGTGCTGGGGTCTCTAGATTACAAATGATTATAGTTGATAACAAAAGTATTCAAATGGTTGTAGTTGATAAAAAAAGAGTTCATGAATCAAAAGCTATATCTAACGAAATTAATCGGCCCTAAATTATCTAATAAAGTTCCCTACACCCCAGTTGCCTTTAATGATTTTTTAGTACCAATGGATGATTGCAACTGTTCCAAAGAAATATACTCAGAATTATCTTTTGATGAATTTGAAATCGCCTTCAAATCACTAAAAAAAAAAGCTATCGGAGCTGATGGAATTAATGGTGACATAATTATCGAGTGTTTTGATCATCTCAAAAATATTTCTTATAAAGTTTATAAATCATCTGTCCACCAAGGAGTTTTTCCTGATTGTCTAAAAATTATTCCAATTTTGAAAGAAGGAGACTGTTGCAATGTCTGTAATTATCGCCCTATATCTATCCTTTCTACCTTTTCAAAAATCTTAGAGCGTATTATGTACAATAGAGTATACAATTATCTTGTCTCCAATAATCTTTTATACAATAATCAATTTGGTTTCAAAAAAAAATAATTCTACCAAACATGTAATCATCCAATTTGTACGAGAAATCTCAAATTCCTTTCAAAGATCCTAATTTACATTAGTTGTTTTTATTGATTTGTCGAAGGCTTTTGATATTGTTGACCATGATATCCTGCTTGAAAAACTAAAATACTATGGATTAAACTATATAACTATAAAATGGCTTCGTAGTTACTTATCAAACCGCAAACAATTTGTCATTATTAATAACTATAACCAAAGCCATCTACTAAATATTTCCTGTGGTGTTTCCCAAGGTTCTATCTTAGGGCTACTTTAGTTCTTGATCTATATAAATGACTTAAATAAAGCCTCAAACTTGATGACTATCATATTTGCCGACGATACCAATTTATTCCTGACTAATAATGACATATCCAAACTCTTTTCTACAATGAATGATGAACTTAAAAACATATGTACTTGGTTCAAATGTAACAAGTTAACTCTTAACATTTATAAAACCAAATGGGTTCTTTTCCATTCACTCTCTAAAAACCGCTAATTACCCCCTAAAATATTTATTGATAAAGTTGAAATAAAAAGAGATTTTGTTACTAAATTTTTAGGAGTGGTTCTCGACGAGAACATTACATGGAAACCGCATATAGAGTATATTTGCTCAAAAATATCTAAAAGTAACGGAGTCTTATATAAATCCAAATCATATTTAAACAAAAAAGCCTTAACCCAACTCTATTACTCATTTATTCACACCTATATTAATTATGCCAACATAGCGTGGGGAAGCACCGAAAAAAGTAAGCTAAAATGCCTTTTTTGCCGTCAGAAGCATGCGATCCGATTGATTAATTCTGCGAATCGTCTTACTCATTCCAAACCATTATTTATGGCAATGAAAATACTTGATATTTACGAAATGTTTATAACATTTTGTGCTTTATTTACATGTGGAAAAACGATTTAACTTAACCTATCTTTAAAGACCTTTTTTCTCTTAACCCAATTAATAAATATTTACTTAAAAATAAAAATTTTGTACATGAACCTATTTGCAGAACAAAATTTAACAAATTTTGCATTACATTTTGAGCACCTTATCTTTGGAATAAAATTGTTATACCTAATTTTGATATATCCAATACATTTTCGATCTTTAAAAGTAAACTTAAAAATTTTATTTTATCTATTGATAATATATTTAAATACTTTTTATAACAATTACGTGTCTGCCTTTTTAATCGTAAGACTGTTGTATTTTCGCTTGCCTATTAAAAAGAGATGCATTACTGTATTTACTTTGTATATATATTTATATATTTACGTTTTTATAAGATCTGATGATATGATCAGACTTTTTATTATATATAACATTAGTGGTTTGATTTATATTTCCAATTTATATTATGATTTATTGTAATTTTTTAGTTTTGTTAATGTATTGATTTTAAAAAATTTGTAAAAGGTTCTGACGATAAGATCATTATGATCTTCTTTCAGAAGCCTTATCTGTTTATCTTTGTAAACAAGGACAAAAATGCAAAAAAAAAAAAAAAAAAAAAAAAAAAATTACATTTATCTAAAGAAATTACTCCAATCTATATTGGAGTAATTTCTTAAACCCAACAAAACCAATTTCTATAAATTGGTTTTGATGGGTTTTGCTCACCTCTGGCCCACTGTGCAGTGGTTAGAGTTCTGTCTTAGAAAGTTAAATCCTCTTCCGCACTGATAAAACTGTAAGTACTTCTGGGAGCGGCAGGAAATTTTTCTGAAATCTGATAAACAGGGGGTTGTATTGATGGAAGGGAGTGGGATTTTATCTCAGAATGTAATAAACAAATAATCGAAATATCGATTTATTTGATTTATATTATTCATTTATTAATTTATTTTTATTATTTATTGATTTATAATATTTATTGATTTATGTAATATTCGAATAAATCAAAAATAATAGAATGTTTCTTCAAATAAATCAGCAAAGTTATCGGTAAAGAAACTTGAAGAGCTGATTACTACTATATTTAAAGCTCCTCCTGGTTTTTATGCTATTTCTGGTTAAGACCAGACAAAAAAAATTTATGGTCATTCCAAGCTATCCTGTTCAGGGCCAAAGATACAGCTTTCAAAGGGTACATGTGTGTGTGTGGGAGGGGGGAAAGGGCACAATTGTCCATTTTTAGAAAAAAGTCCTCTATATCTTGAAATTTCTAAAAAAAAAATAAGAAAGTCCTATATAATAAAAGTAGGGTGGCACGTGCCGCCTTCCCTGCAGGCGTCTGCCATGCTGTTGCAAAAGTTTTATGTCCTCATCACTAGAAATAATTTTTCAAATTTATAATATATATATATATATATATATATATATATATATATATATATATATATATATATATAATATATATATATATATATATATATATAAGTATAATAATATTTTAATTTACAATGTACAAAATATAAAAAGTTTATGAATTTCAAACAATCATAATCATGGTTCTAATCGTTCATGTGTCCATTAACTATATTTTTAAGCATGGTTTTCGTTAAAATATTTTTTTTAGTAAAACGGTTAAACTGTTCATAAAATAAATACAATTGATAAAATAATAAAGAAAAATCATTTAAATTCCATTGAATTTCAAAGCGTGTTTTATTTATTATATAAGAAAGACTCACATGAAAATGAATATTACCTTAAGTGTCCAATAACTGTACTGTTTACCCTACATCGTTCGGAAGATAAAAGAAATTTAATTAAAAATTTACGAAACCAGGGAAAGAAATTTCATATAGCACGCAATGCAATTAAAAAAGAAAATACACGCGAAACACGTGGTCGAAATAGGAAAACGTCTAAAAGAGATAATGAAAATAATGTTCTTTATTATAAAAGAAATCCATTTGCAACGTCAAAACTACTCTTGACCTTCAAATTGTCGGTATACGAGACTTTTAGATATTTTTTTTGTAAGGTAGTGGGCAAAAAAATTTTCGGCAAAAAAAGACACCCCCCTCCCTTTAAAATCTCTTCGGGACGGCCCAATATATATATATATATATACATATATATATATATATATATATATATATATATATATATATATATATATATATATATAATATACACATACATACATACATACATACATACATACATACATACATACATACATACATACATATATATATATATATATATATATATATATATAAATTTTTGATTTAATTGAAAATAACCATAACAGGGCAGCGATATTTAGGTTTATCTTATTGCAATAACCAGCAATATCATTCAAAAAAATTAGTAATAAGTTTGATAAATTTTTTAATTTAAATTTTAAAAATTTATACAAAAATATGTATCACAGTTAGGTACATGCTGTAAAAACGCAAACATTTTGAAAATACAAAACCTTTTAGCATAAATATTTTGAATTAGTCAATACTTGAATATTTGTATTCGTCAACATAAAATAATTCGTTCTTTTCCAGTGGTGCAACAAAGAAAATGGTTTTTTGATCGTACACCTCCAAGTAAGGATGCGCATTTAGTTTTTGGTTCTAAATTTTTTTGTTTTCATTAAAAACATTGTTTATTTTACATAATAAAAAAGTTAACTTTTTATACTATAAATTATAAAATACAATTACAACAATTATATTTAAAACATGTTATTATTTAAAAATAAATTATTAAAATAAAAAAATATAAAAGTATTATATAAGAAAATATTTTATAGTATATTATAATACTATAAAATGTCTTTGTATAAATTCATACTAAAAAATAACTCACTTCGCAGTATGTCTTTAGTTTTGGATAAACACGATAGATTGCAACCAAAATAGAAAGCCAAAATTGAAAGGGAAATTCAGCAACAATTGCTTTAACTGGAGGTAGTTGGACATGTGAATAACCAATACCAGTCATGGTATTTTTTAATTCATCACTAATCTCATCTGATGGCACAAAAAGCCCAATAGCATATCGAGTCTTGTTGTTTTCTATCTTAAAAATTATTAACTTTTTCATTTAAATATAAAACTAAATATAATAATTTAGTCATTTTTAATTTCATTTAATTAAGTTGAATAATTTGAATAAGTAATATGAAATAATAAATGGTTTAAATTTAGGAAAAACAAACAAATTTAAATTAAAAATGCAAATAAAAATTATGAGAGGAAAAGTGTTAATTTTATTTTTATTTGTTTATGATTTTTATAATCAAGTCACTATTAAGTTACATTAAATTATTTCAGACGTTTTAACTTGTTTAACTAATTTTAAAATTTTAACAAAATAGACTTCATTTTATAAAGTACATTTGTTTAATTAAAAAGATTTTAAGATCAAATTATTTCCAATTAAAAAAATAATTTGATCTTAAAATAACAAAGTCAATCATAGCTATAAACTTTTCAAATCGGGTTTCTTCAAGACTTTTTCAAAAAACTGTTTTAAAACATTGAAATAAATAAATCACTCTGTTATTATTTATTATTTTACTCCCTAAACATCATATTTTAATAAAATGATAAAACAATAACTTTTGGAAGTAACAGACTACTTATGATATTTTTTATCACAAGGGTTTAACTTTTTTTAAATTCATTTTATTGTAAGTAGCATCCTGTTTTTTATTTTTGTTTTTAGCACCCTATTTTTTAAACATTTGATACTAAAAATTCTTATTAAAATATCACTGTAAAAGTATTATAATAACAAAATACTAATGCTTTTATGCAATGTATTAGAAATCCTATTTAATATGAAATAAGATTTATTTGTGTCAACATTAAATTTTTATTAACAAAACTTATAACAATATGGGCCAAATCAGGGTTATGTACAGGAAAAGTTTTGGCTAAGTCAAAAATATATATATACTCCCTCCCCCCCCCCCCAGTTTTTTAGTTTTGAACCTCTTTGATGGATTGAGTGTTTTTTTATATAAATGTTTCAATAATTCTTTAAATACATTACTTATAAACCTGTTTATTTATTCAAAAGCATATAACCATTCGCAGTTTTTTTAAAGACCTTTATGCTCTAACACTATCTTGCAAAAACACTTTTTAAAAACATTTTACAACTGTGTAAATAAAGTTTTTTTGATATATTTATATTTATATATATATATATATATATATATATATATATATATATATATATATATATATATATATATATATATATATATATATATATATATATATATATATATATATATATATATTATATATATATATATATACACATTTAACAGCAATAAAAATTTCAAATATTTACTTTATTCCAATAACAGTTCAATAGCCAGAAATATTTTTACAAATATTTGTAGCTATGAAAATAGCTGCTTAAAAATTTTAAAAGACATCATTAAAGAGTTTAATATATAATTAAATAAAAACTTATTTAAATATAATTAAATATTGTATGAAAATTAATTAAAAAAAAAAAGAGTTACATCCATAGTTTTTTTTTAATTACTGCTTAACAAATCGTAGCAAAAACATTTTTAAAAATTCTACTTTTATTATATTTGAATATTATTCAAAACACACTCCATAAGTATTCATAGCAAACTTTTTAAAAACTTGTTTATTATCTATAGATAACTCTGAAAGAAAGCTAGACCATTTAGCTTAACTTAAACTTCTAACATTTTTCTCCTTTTGATCATTCTCTTAGTACCTTTAGGCGCCTAAGTGAAGAAAAAGTTTGCTCTAATTTATATGAAGTTAAGGGTAAGGTAGGAGTAACTTTTAATAAGATAAATTTCAATGTTTTCAAATCTAGGAAAAGCTGTTACTTGTAATGTATCAGTAATATTAGATAGGAGCTCAGTTTAACTTTTTGGTGTAGTTAAGGCGATTTACAAATTATTTGAATTCTTTTATTTGGAATTACATTGGTTTATCAGTGTATTATGTCCAAACAAGAAAGCTCTTGTTTGGGCATAATATTGATAGTATATTTTTTTTTGCTAAGTTTTTTTTTAATATTTAAAGAAACATTTCTTTTTTTATATCTTTTTTATATATAATTTTTAAAATCTTTTTACTATCCCTAAAAGTGAATCTAAAGAATACCATTTTGGAGTCTTTAGATCACTTTCGCTCATTGGTATCAATATGAATTTAGTTAAAATCTTTTGAAAAAGTGCCTTAATTTACTATAGATCCTAGTTCTAATCCTGTAATGATGTATATTAACTTTATATTACAATATTTCTATCAATTTTCACAAAAAATACTAGAATTCTGACTAAGAAAAAACTTATAATTAAGAAAAATTGCCAATAAACGATCAGAACAGAAAAACTTTTACAGTTACTTTTTTTAAAGCAGAGTTAAATACTTTTTGGTATTACTTTGCTCTGGTAGACGTGGCAGTAATTTCTTTAAGAAATTTTAAAACATTAGTATTTTCTGAAGTTGCTGGCTCAATCTGGCTGCAAAAATCAACTCATCAACAAATACCTGCTCGCGCAAATCCATAGTTTTTTGACGCTTACTGCATTCACTAAGCACTATATTAGTTTGATGGGTATCTAGGTTTGTATTAAACGTTTATTAAACTATAATATTCATTTAACCTAAAAAACGTATTATTTAAATCTTATTTAAATTTGGTTGAGCAATTGTGATTTTAAGAAGATTTAAAAAAAAAAAAAAAAAGAATCTTCAGTCTGGGTTTTTTCGCTATAAAAATTTATATTTTATGATACTGCAAAATTTATCATTTTAAGTTTATTCATCTTTTCATAATGTGCAAACCTGATTAAGGGAAATACTGCTAGATTTATCATTTTAATTTTATTCTTCTTTTCAAAAAAAACAAAATAAAATGATCAAGATGCAAGTTACTAAAAACTGTTAAAATTTCACGCTTTTTTTCAAAATAAAATTTTTATTGTGAACTAAAGATTGTTATGGTTTTAAAACTGTATTAATTAGCAATCATAAACATTTTTAAAATTTAATGCTAATTTAATAACTTTAAGATTCTTTTTTAAATGTTAAAATTCTTATTATTAAAAAGTAGGATTTGTAAAAGTTGGTTATTTCGAGTGCTGTTTGTGTATCATTTATATTGTCGCATAATTTTGTGTATCGATTATATTGTTCTGTATTTTAGTGTATTGTTTATGTCATGTATTTCTGCTCATTGCTTATGTTGTTATGTGGGTTATTTATGTTGTCATTTATTTGCTATTTTTTATTTAGTTTGTTCAATGTTGGTCAGACATTTTTAAAGTTGTATATAACTTTAAAACTGTATATCTACATGTGTATTTTTACATTTTTATGTGAGTGTATAGAGGCACATGTGTATTTCTTTATGCATATGTAATATATGTATGCATGTGTGTGCGTGTGTGTGTGCATATCTATTTTATTTTTGTTATGTTTTTTGTCATTTTGATTTTTCAATAGTATTACTTAATGTAAAATAGATTTTTTCTTATTATTATTATTTTTTTGTTACTTATATTTTTACTATAATTATTGTTATATATAACATTTATTTTTGTTGCTATTGTTTTACTATGATTGTTATATTATTGTGATTTAAATTTAATAATTTTCAAAAAGTGTAAGCAACAAGTGATGCTTCAATAAAGTATTAATTTTATGCCTTCAAAAAAAACTGTTTAAATTATAAAAAAAACCTTTTTACTTTTTTAAAAAATTTAAAAACATATTTTTCTTAGTTTTAAACAAGTTACATACCTTTTTAGGATCGTCATAATAAATTCCCATGCATTTAAGTTTAGAATTGTTTTTTATAACAGGAAATTTAAACAATTCACGAAGAACCAAAGAGCATTCAGAGTAACTCTGCTGATAAAACTTGTAAAAGAATGTTCCTGGCGTTGAAACTTCTGTTACTTGAATATCTATGGTGCTCATCCATCCCGAATAAGTTAAAAAAACAATCAACAAAGAGATTAAAATTAAAGCAGTACTAAAAATTATAAACTCCATCATTCAGACTGTTAAGTATAAATAAAGCTATCAAATATTAATATTTTGCCCAGAGATATTAGTTCAAAAGTTACCGAAATTATCATTTGACAATCAAAATTTGGTAATTATAAAATGGTCATTTGACAATTTTTTTTTAAATTGGGCTCTCGCGATAATTCCGGAAATAATTTATTTTGTTTTATCATTATTATTTTTTTTATGACTGCATTTTTTAAATGTGAAACAAAATTTTATTTCATTGCGACATTATTTGGGACATATTTAGGGGCGAGTAGTACTTACCCGTTATTTGTCATGAAGAGTTTGCAATTATCCGCCATTTGTAACGTTTAAATGATCCGCCTCGCCAATCCGCTTCTTACTAAGCAATCGGCGAGGCGGAGCGGATTGGGGAGGTGGATTATATAAACGGTACAAATGCCGGGACGGATCAATGTTTTTATTAATAATCAATGATTTTATTAAGCGATCAGTCAAATTTTATTAAATAAAAAAAAAAAACTATTACGTTTCATTAAATGTTTATACATTAAATATTTATAAGATATTTGCATATTATTATTTTAATATAAAATAAACTCTATGTTGAGATAATATAAACGTAACAAAATTAGAATAGGCATTTCTTCCTAAAAAATTGAATTCGTATGAAGCCATTAACGAGTACCAATGCCGTTTAAACAAATGATTCGCACCGCCCCGCTGATCTGCTCTGTCGATAGTACCTACCTATTTATAAGTTTCTTTAAAATCCGAATTATTCGATTTACAGCAATTCCATGCCACGCGTTAACTTTAAAACCTAACTTTTTATTGCATAATTTATTAAAATCAAGTATTATCTTTCAAATGAGCAACACTATTTTGCATGTAAATTATATCAAATGTGCGGCCGTGGCGCAGTAATTAGAGCGCTTGCTTTACAAGCAGGAGATCCAGGTTCGAAACGAGCTTTGGACTTATTTCGTGTCACGGTAAGAAAGGAGGCGTAAACTTCCTGGTTAAATGCACTTCCGCGGTACTCTGTGGCAAGACCGTTAGGACTTCTTGGGGCACCTAAGTATTACAAATTAAAAAAATAAATAAATAAAATGGATTTAAATGACGGGGCATTTGAAGTACTTTTTTCAGTTAAAATTTCACTTATATAGTTGAATACTTTTGTGGTCCGAAGCGGTCCAGTAATTTGAAACTTGAAATACATTGTTCAATATGTATATTATCGTTATAAATTTGTTTTATAGTTCGCCTGGTCTCTATTAATGATTTTTGCAAGTTAACCGGTGAAAAAAAGGTAGCTAGTTAATGCAAGATGTTTTTAAAACGTCTAAAACACGAATGACTACGTATTTTGTACGTCTTTAGCGCATCTTTTACGCATAAGTAGCAACTAGCTAGTTGCTAGCTCATCTCCCACCGGATAAATGATGTATCCAATTTTACGTGGTAAAAACATTATATTTATTTTATTCTAAATTGTTATGTAATAGTTGGGTCTCAGCAAGACTAGATTAGTGTTACAAACTTATTTTACTAATTATACCAAGGACGTATTAATAGATGGACGTTTAACGTATTGTTTAAAAGCCAAGATATCCGCGCTATTCATTGTTACAAATAACAATAGCAAAACAATAGAGAACTATTTTTAACTTGATTTTACGTCAAAATAACGATAGTCTCGTCTAGCCTTAGAAATATTTAAACATTCCATTACACCTAAAAAATCTAAAAAGTTTTTAAATAAATAAAGCCTTTTCATAATATCATCTATAAACTCAAGCGAAATCTTTATATGGAAAAAAAGAGTTAATCACAGAAAAATATTAAAACAAAATTGTAAGTGAGAAAAAAATTTCCGACAAAAATGAGAAATTTAAATACTTAAAGTAATAGTGAAAACTAAGTGTAGGGAATAGAGACCACAAGTAATCTATAGTTCGATCTATATATGATCTACAGTTTTACCTACAACATCTAGAAAATTCGTTTCACTTTGCAGTATTCATTCTTGCAAACTAAATATCACTTTTTTACAAAGTATGATTTTTGACGTCTAAGTTTTATTAATAATAAGTTCTTATTAAAAAGCGCTCACGTATCAAATTTGACATTTTAAAACAGATGAGCTATTTCTGTATAACTATTATGCATTAATTTTTAAAAAATGTTAGAGTTTTGTAGGTAGTTGAACTTTTTAAAAAAGTAGTTAGAAAAGCGAAATTATCCGAAAAACGTCGGTTTACTTTTATAAATTATTCAGAAAAATGACGCTAAAAATTATAGCTCGCATAGGTTTTTGTTTACTTGCGGCGCCTCAGATCTATAACAATGGGTTAAACGTCCATCTATTAATACGTCCTTGATTATACATTCTAAAATTTGTAAAATTTTGTAAATAAAATTTATATTTTTATATTGTTAAAACATGAAAAGTATTGATATTTATTCATATATAATACAAGAAAACCCGAAGTTAGCTAATCCTAATATTTTATACACACAAAGGTTATATCTTAGGGTTTCTTTTTATATGGATTATGTAGTAGTTTCATGAAGTATAAAATAGAGCTTTGAAACTGCATAAAAATACTTAAAATTAGTAATTGGGAATGTGTTAAATTAATAAATGCGTAAAATAATTTTTAGCCAGATTGCCACATATTGATGCTTGGAGAAAAATTACTTAAGCTAGTAACTATGCAAAATGAAGCGTCAGGCATTTTAGGTGTCACTATCAGCCAAATAAAATTTCCATAGTACCACTACATTTTTATCAAAATACTCAATGTAGTATTAATGGAAGAAATCTAATAAAGTTATTACTTTTTCTGTTGAGGTAATAAAATGTGGTTGCTAAGTAATTTAGGTACCCTTAGCAACCCAAAGTTTAAAATAATGTCACCATTAAAACCGCAATCCTCAAATTAGTAAACAGTGCAAAAATGGTTCTTAAATAATTTTTATATGACGAGTTATTAGTTTTGTCCAGTTAAAGTGATTTCTGGCCCACATGCCAGCATGTAGAATTGCTGTTTAGTCTTTAAGGTTTCTTATTTCCCGTAAATTTGGCATTCGCGGTTTAAGTGATTGCGAAGTTCCTTTCAAGTTTAAGCATTAAGCATTAGCGAAGTCGAACAGCGAATATTGTAAAACTTCGTTTACGAAGTTTAATGAATATTACTATTTGTTTATCGAATAGTAAATGAATATTAGAATTTGTTAAATAATTAGTAATAGATCCTCATAAAACTACGTCAATAAATATACTATTTGCTATTTGTCCCGCTATTCGCTAAAATCCAGTTTAAAGAATCTGATTATAGTTTCTTTTTTTTGAAGAACTGCAAAACTAAGTTCCTTTAGGACATAATTAGCCATATTTGTTTTCAAAAGCTTTGTCAAAAATGCACTTCTTCATTTTATTTATTTTTTTGAAAATTTTCAAAATTGATTTTTTTTTACTTGAATCATTAGCAACCAGAACAGCATTATTGTTATCGTCAATCAAGTTCCAATTAATATCAATCGGCAAAATATGTTCTTCTTTGATAAATAAATGCGCAGGGTTAAAATCTGACTAACAGCCATTCAAGAACAGGATTTTCTAGCACCTTTACCAATGTGCGTTTTATTAAATGATTTTGACGTTTTACTAAACCATGTGCTTGTGGATCGTATTCACTCGTCAATGTTGACAAGTTCCAGTTTTACTGTAAAGTTCATAAGACAGCTCATTCATAAATTCACGGCCTTGATCGTTAATCTATATTTCAAAACAGCTGTGCCTACACATTTGTTTATACGGGAATAATGCTACAGATTTTGTCGTTATATCAAAAAGAGGTTAAGCTTCTACCCGTTTGATGAAACAATTGACTAGTACAATCAGATATTTATAACCATGTGCTTCTGGGGTTGAACCAAATCAATCCTAACCTGTTTTATGTAACCTTTAGGATTTGATATTCTTAATAATAATGGTTTAACTTTAAGTTTCTTTTTTTTTCCTTTTGCAAACAATACATCTTTTACTAAAGGCGAGCTGTACGTTTATTAACTTTAGCAGCTACAAATATTGAATTTTAAGATGTTGTTTGTTATAAACCTAAACTTGAGTTAAGTGAAAGCATATTTTTTTCTCTTTTTTCAATTTTAATATCAACTTATTTGCTATGAAATAGCAAATGTTCAGCTAAAGTTTACCTAAACATTAAAACATTTAGCTAAACATTAGCTAAAGCTTAGCTAAACAAAATTGTTTAGCTAAAGTTTAGTTTTACAAGCCACTATACATTTTTTTGTAATTTATAATTTATGGGTTTTGTTTTTATTCAAATTATTTGTCGTGTAATCTAAAAACACTTATTTAAAAATATTACTTTTACAATATTACTATTATTAAAGCTTCAAATTTTAACTCAAAACCTAATTTAATATTTACCGGCAGTGTCGACAAATAATTCTGGAGTTAATTGCCGGCAGGAAGTATTACAAGTATCAAACTTTATGTAAACCGTTTCTAACATAAAGTGAGTCTAGCTTGCAAAAAATGTTTATTTCAAACTAGGGTTGTTTGCCAAAAAACAAAACTTAATGGATCCGTAACGCTTTATAGGAAAATAATAGATAATAATGATTCGGTAATAACGCTTTACAAAAACTTGCGAAAAAAAAAATCATTTCGAAAGAATACTTGCGAAACATTTCCTTACGGAACGAGCATTTAAGGAAGGAGCATGTACTTGCGGAAAACACTCAAAACATTTTATTAATACGTCAAAAAAAAAAAAAAATTGACGTTATCAGTTCTCACTGAATCTTGAGATTAATTTATCACTACCTTTTAGACTAGCTACAGCTCTGAAATTTTCCAAGTTGTAGAGCAAAATTGTTTCCAGGGACGAAGATCCAGGGTAGGTGATGCATTGTACAAACCCGCTTTTTTGCCACCAAATATTGTAAATGATTTTTCAGTACCCTCCATAATAGTTAGAGCTTTAAAACTTTCAGCAGTTATTTAGTCCCAATGACGTTGAGATGTTGCGTTTTAAAACATTTTCCAGGGCCGACGACACAAACATTTTCCAGGGCCGACGACACCAATTTGTTAACGTAACTTTTTTTTTATTTTTAACAAAGGAAAACGTTATTAAAAAAATCTTTAAAAAGGTTGTCTTTTTTTAATTTTTTAGTTTACTTATTGTTATTAAGGTAATAAAAGCGAAAACTCATATAACAGAGCACCTCAAAAATAAAAAAGTGAAACGAACTAAACATAAAACCATTCTATTTGAAAGCAAGTGAGAGCTATTTTTTAAGCATTTTATTATATAGTCATTTTTCATTATCAATATCATTTAATAATTTAATAAGTATTTTAGTTACTTAGACGAATTCAATGATATATATTTAATGATACATATATCATTGGACGAATTTGATTTATAAAAACGTAATTAAATATATTTATTATGCCGCGTTTTGTAAGTTTTTTTCCGTTAAGAACTGTTTTGCAAGTTGCGGTGCGAAACAGTTTCGTTTCAAAAGAACTTTGGTTTTTTATCATTATTTTAAAAAATAAAACCTTATAATGTGACTATGTTGCAATACTGATAATAAAGTTTTATTATAAACATTTTGGTATATAAAGACTTCATTTTTTACAATTATATCCGTTTGGCAAACAAACTTTCTTTATAGACTTCAAAACGTCGTTTAGCGATAGAGGTCGTTTCGCAAGTGCTTCCGTAAGCGTTACTTTCGTACATATCGAAATAGTTTTATTTCGTAATTCAACTTGCGAAAGGCTAAATTTCGTAAGTAGCATTTGCGAAATGAACATCGATGATTTCATGATGTTAACAATGAAACGTCGTAAAACGTTAATATTGACATGTCGTAAAATGTTAACAAAGACATGTCGTTGAATGTTAACAATGACGCGTCGTAAAATGTTAACAACGATATGCCATCGAATGTTAACAATGAAATTTCGTAAAAGTTAATGTACAATCTAACTTTTTCTTGAAAAGAATTACATAAGCATGATTTATCGTCATATATTAAATAAATTTTGATAAGTTCGAGATTAAACTTGATAAATTAAATTATTGCATAAACTACTTACAAAAAACTGAAATAAAAAAATAAAAAAAAAAAGATAATATAAAAACATTTATATTAACACTCAATTTCAATAAAGTAGAATAATCTTCAAAAATTACAATTTTATTTTTGCAATTTTCATAGCACAATATCTCCTGTCATTGTGTTCAACAACCTATTATTGTGTTACAGAACCTGTTGTGTTCAACTAATGTACATTTTATTGATTACACGACTAATTCTTTTATTGATTGTCACAGCTTACCTTATTATCTCTTATTTGATTTGGATATTTCTTTTATTATTATCAAAAAAATAAATCAAATGAGTTCACAATTGTTATTCCTAAAGCTGTTCCATATCTTTGGAGATTCTGTATTCTTTTTACTTTGTTTCCATAACAACTTATAAGCAAATAAAAAAAACTTGTTTTTTTCCACCAGTTAAAGTATCAAAGCAAAATTGCTGGCAAAATTCCCATAACAATCCATATATATTTTTATTTTGTATTATAAACTGTTTAATAAAAACTGTATCCCTAGCTGTCCAGTCAGTAAATTTTTTTTTTAATATAAGTATTTATTTTCATATTATCACTTTTCTGAATTGAAGTTGCTATGTTTAATAAGTGCAATGTTTTCTAAACAAGAATATTATAGGTAGTGCTAGATTTCGGACATTTTTTATGACGAATTTAATTAACGGTCATACGGAGCACGACCTCACACACTTTAAAATTTGTTACTAGAAATGATCAAAACGTGTGTTTACTTTAATTATGAGATTTTAATGTATAAACGCATGTCTTTGTTTATTTTGCAGTTTTAATGTAAAAGTAATTACATTAATTACAAGTTTTAAACTTTACCAGTTTTTTGTTTGGCCTTATCATATAGATTTTATCCTTATTATAAAATTTCTTATTACAATACACAGAACAAAATAGTCGTTACAGCGGTTCAGGATTAGAAAAACAAATGTTTAAGCAGAAAAGCTTTACCACCAGATGATTTAATAGATCATCGGATAACTTTTGTTTGTATGAATATATCTAGTAATTTTAAGCACTAACGCTAAAATTAACTTAATGAAAAAAATCAACGAGAATTAATTTTAGCTATGCGTCTTAGAATAATGAAACCCAACTTTTAAATGGTTTGTTTGAAACTTAGTTTTAAAAACATCGTGTATTTCAATGGCCTCATAAAACGTCATCAAAGAAATTAAAATATTAAATCAAACAACCAAAAATAATTAGCTATATCAAAAATATTTCTTTAAAAAAATATTTTATTTCAAAATTTAAATATCCGTATATATTTATATATTTAGTAAAAAAATACTTCAACCAAAAAACATCGATTACCCAACCATAACAACTGAAAATAAGGGGAAAAGATTCATGAGAAAGCTTCCAGTTATTTAAATTCAAACTTTCGTCAAGCGTGAGATTCGTCCGTCGTCGTTTGTACGACTTGTTTTGATGTTTCATTTGTTTCACCAGTCAATTTAGCCTAAACACCCAAAAGAAATTATCATGCACAAACACCCAAAGAAAAAATTGTATCACTCTTACTATTAAAGGTCATTTCAACCTGATGGTTTGTTACCCTATACTTACTTCAAACAAGTCATCATAACTATGGATATCATACATTACCGGTCAGTGGGTTATAACTTTTACTTCATACTATTTTGTAGGTAAAAATTCAAAAACTTTTCTACCCTCAAATGTAAGCGTGCGATATAATATGTAGCTTATAAAACAACAATATGCTTAAAAAACAGGTAGATGGTTATCTAATACATCACTTTCATATTTTAATAAATTCTGTCATACTCAGGGCCATCCCGAACGCATAATACTCCCCCCCCTCTTACGAGAGACCTCTTCGAGACGGCCCTGGTCATACTTTTTCTATTATAACATTGTAAAATGTTTACTTTTATAAGATTTAAATATACTAGATTTATTTCGTTAACTATTTCACACTGAGTTTATAAAGAAAAAAAAATTCAATGAGTTTTCCTGAGCTTTAACAATATATAAAAACAAAGAAAATATTTCCATAAATAAAAGTTTTCCCCAAGTTACGAAGTTAGGATGAATTCACATTCAAGCCACAAAACGTTTTTAACAGTTTACAGATCATATTTTAGTATTTTTCAGCCTCTCAACTCAAACAAATAACAATAGCAAAAAAAACAGTACCGGTACGCTTCAAAATTTAAATCAAAAGTATAAACAATTAACATACTTGGTTTTTAAACACTTAAAAAAAGTCCAACAACAACAAAAAAAAAAACACGCTGGTTATATTAAAATAACATGATAATATTAACATAAAAACCTTAGCAATAGTCAATGAACTGTTTTAAAAATTTTTATTAACTTATATGTATTAATAAATAACAAACTAGTTTTTTTTTTGTATGTACCGTTTAAATATAGTTCATTAACAAAATGTATAAAAAAAAATATTTACATGACCGGAGCAAAAAAAAAACAATAGTGGTCTTATCACTAAGCCCTGTATAGTTCTTAATAAAAAAAAATATGAATATTCCATAGTTAATTAAGATCACAAATTCTCGATATATTTTTTAAAACTGGTTTTCTTTAGAAATATATAAAATTCTTTGTTCTATATAATTCTATATTCTATGTTTGTTCTAGTGAACAAATTTAACTTTTTTTTTTTTTTTTTTTTTACCAATTTATAAGATTTTCATAACACGTCATTTCCTATGTGGTATAATGGTGATATGTTAAGAAAAACTTATAATTGAGTTATTACATATGTGCATGCTGCATGCAAAATTAAGTGCATAATAGAAAGGGTTAAATATATAAACATATATAAGTATATAAACAAGATCAAACCTTTGTACGTGCACATAAAAAAGATTAAGCATAGATATAAAACGTTCATTACACTTTTTCTATATAAAATCTACATCACTGAGCATTAAATATTAAAGATGCTATAAATTTTATATAAACATTATAAAAACAAAAATTAAAATTAGTTTTTGCATCTAATCTAAAATGTTAATAATGTATATAATGTTGAAACCAACACAGCGTTCTAATGTTGACACCCGATCCAGTGCCGTGGCAGGTGGGTAGGAATCCCCCTCCCCCCTTAAAAAAAAGAAACTCTGTTTACATCCAACCCATAAACCAATCGAAAATTTACTTTCATTCACAGTACCTTTGACTTAAGAGTTGTAACAAATACGTTATACTTTAACTATATAAATTTTGAAATTTTTTAAATATTAATATATATTTATTTCGACAGTATTTTTTTTTAATGATGTATTTACTATTTTTAGCAGAGAAAAATGAGATCGAAAAAATAACAATACAAGACCACAAAGCGTTTTTAGTATTAAATAAAAAACCTTAACATTTGTAGAATGATAAACGAAGATCATAGCTACATTAAGACTTCCATTTGCTTACTTTTAAAATAAGGATAAAAAATCACCACTGTTTTTGGCGGTTGAAACTATAAACATTTTCTTGTAATAACAACGTTTTTATTCAATATTTTGAATAATAGCTTTGAGGATTTTTTATAAAAATTAGTAAAAAATGAAACAATTTAAAATAAATAAAATCTTTTAAATAATCAAATACATAGGATATGGTTACAAAATACAAAATCTAACAACACAAAATCCATATAACAAATCTTAATAAAAATAAATATAACATAAGAATAATGATCCTATGTAAAAAAATGGTCTGATTTCCAAATAATCTACCTTTCAAATTTCTAGCTTCATACTAACAGCATCTAATATCTAGTTTACAGTTCTCATTAGAATAAACTAATAAGTTTATATTTAAAAAATGTAATAAAAAGTCTTGAAAATATTTAAAATAAAAACTTTTTTTAATTGTTAAAAGTTACTTCCTGATGCATCTTTTATGGCTGGTCTAGATCCGAATGATCCGGAAAGAATTTTGTTCTAGAAAAAATGACCATGGAATGTTTAATATTTTTCTGATATGTTTATACATCAGTAATAATAAATTAAATAATACAAAAACAAAATTAAGGTATATTTTGTAAAATGTTATTATAATGCAAAACATGGAACTTAAAGTCAAATAGACTGTCAACAGTTGTTGAAAATTATTTAAAGACGAGAGATGCAAATAAAACAAATTGTCAAATATGAAACGCAATGCTTTATGTTTAAAAATTGTTGGTGAATTTGAATATTCTAAAAAATCAGGTCCACAATCATCTATGATAAATACTAAACTGAAAAAATCAAAAAGTATATTATATACATAATCCAAATCCAGCAAATAATCAATAGCCTTGAAGTTAAAAATTTTAAAAACTAGTGAGCTTTATGCAAAAAAAATAATCAAATCTAAGGAAAAGATTTAAAGTATTTATAATATTAAAAAAAAAAAAAGAAGCTGAATAGTCAAAAAAGAGTTCTTCTTAAAAAGTATTATCTGGCATCTATTTCCAATTATTTGATCTCTGATGCCAGATAATGAATACATTAATATGATTGTGGCTGGATAGCTCAGTTGGTTAGAGCGTCAAAAAAAAAGTTAAAACCCGAACTGTTGAACGATATGAGTTCAATTCCTGCCACCGCCAACTCAGCGCTCGAGTAGTACTTAGGTACAGAAAAATGTTGGTCATTAACGGACGCTACTTTGGATTAGTCTTATTATTATTTGGATTTAGTCTACTTTGGATTAGTCTTATTATTACTATTTGTGGCTGTTTCTATGCTAAGCCAACAATATCTTTGGATATAAGAACATTGTATAGAAAAATACAGCATGAAAACTCAAATAAATAAAATGAAAAAATAAAAAATTGGTGATGGTTTTTGAATACTATATAGTACTTTGAATAAAATGATTGGCTGCAGCTAAAACAAAAGTTAAAGTTCTATGCTAAATATTTGGTATGGCAAATGTTTGCGCAGGATGGTTTCTGAAAAATAAATCACAACTATTCTGTATAATAAACAAAGTGAAACAGAATCACAACACGTTCTTCTGGTTAGAAATGGCAAGCTTTCATTAGGGCTGAACTGTGTGTGATTATCTAAATAAACAAAAAATTGACAGTAGCCAAGAAAATACACCAGGTGTACCTAACCAAAAACTAAAACTTTTCTAAACATAAAAAATTTCCTTGATCTGTAAAAGCTTTTTGTATAATTGTTTTTTATGCAAAAGAAAGTACAACGAAAATGGGACCTTCATATAAAGAATAACACATTTCAAAAATTTGCTTGCATGTATAAAAAAGCAGAAAAAATCGATGATCTGTTTACAAATTTAAAATTGACGATCTATTTACACACATTTGAACCTTTACAATTGCAGAAGTAGTTTTATTAAAATCCAAATTTTTCTGCGTTTTGTGTTAAATTTTTTCTTTGAGTATTTCAGCCAGACTTTATTTTTAAAAGAGCGCAAATAAACTTTAATCACACTCTTACCTAAATAAATGTGCTTATATCTAAGTGGATAGTATGTCTAAGTGTAATAAATATTAGGGTAGAGAAATTTTAAAAAACTTACTAATTAGAGGTTGTCCAATAAATGGGGTTGTAATAAACAGCAGTCTTAACTTAAAAAGTGGAGGGAATGACTGGCGTAACTGGAGAAAGTTCATTATTAAACAAAATGAACTATATATTTATACAAAGGTGTTAGATAATATATTCAACACCTAGGAGCACATAGAAACAACACAGCAGATAGTAAAATTAAAAAACTAAAAAGATCTATACTATTACACCTGAAGCTTCACAATATCATACCTTATAACTATGAATTCAAAAATATTAAATTTATTGTGAGTTAATTTTTGCTGACTAATTCTATTTTTGAGCCTGTAAATTTTATTTTGGGACTCTTTATCAAATAGAGAAATCTGTAACACATATATTTTTATGCAAATAGAATTTTTAACAATCCACTGCAAATAAATACTTAATAACTTTACCTTTACAACATTAGTTGTCGTCCAAAATCTTTCTGACACAGAAGCAACTTTAGGTGACTCTCTAAAATAAAGATACACTATAATACACACTTATAAATCTTTATTTATCTTTATTAGGGTGGTTCAAAAAATAACAATTTTTTAAAATGACTTAGCATACCTTCTAATGCTCATTGTGTTCTATATAACCCAATAGCACTGTATTTGAACATTTAAAAAAAAAAATTTTTTTTAGGCGTTGCTTATGATCATTCAACATTTAACAGGTCTCTATAATTATTTAAAAAAAAAAAAAAGCTCATCAAAAATAGGTGAATCTGGGTCACAAATGAAGTGAAACTATATAAAAATTTAATTTTATTCAAATAATTATTTAAATAATGATTTTTTAAAAAATATTTCCATTTTTAATTGTTTTAAATTATTTCCATTTTTAATTGTTTTAAAATATTTCCATTTTTAATTGTTTTAAAATATTTCCATTTTACTGTATAATAGTGAAACTTTTGACTAAAAATCAAAAAAGTTTTTTTGATGAAAAATTTTTTTAAATTATATTTTAATATAAGATAACTTTGCTTTATTTTATTAAAACAACATCGCAAAGTTGTTTTATTTAAATAACTTTTGCAGTTTCTGCTTGGAATAAAAACCAGATCTAAATCTGATGTGAATAAAAAAATATAACATGTTTAAAATATTGCTGTTAAAACTTTTTTTATTTATGGTGTGAATGGAGTGCAAAATTGACCTATTTTTTATAAACTTTCTAAAATAATATTAGGGACCTGTTAAAAGGTTCTTGAGCAATCCCTAAATTTTTCTCTTATTAAAATTTTTTTAAAAATCTAGTGTTATTTTGTTAAACAGAATACATTTAAGGGGCATGATAATTAACTAAAAATGCATTTATACTAATATATGTTAAATACACAAATAATGGTTTTATAAGCAAAATTACTTTATTTCAGTCCATTTGTTTACTGTAGCAGTTCCGAGTGTTTTCAAAGCGCTGGAAGTTTTTTGAGTTGCATCAGAGAGGACTTGCTTTGATTTATTAACACTAAATCAAAAAATTACATTTGTTGAATCATATGAATTAAATATTTAAAATAAAACAATTTATTAAATTATACAGGTTTCTAATAAGTTGCTTACTTGATGAATTATATAAATTTTTTACTAGTATTAATTACTTGGCTAAATCAAAAAATAATAATTTATGTAGCAATTTATTTAACTAATATATATTTTTAATTAATTTAATTAATAATATTTGTGTAGTAATTTGTGATTTGTGTAAAATTAAAAGTCTTGCCTCATCATTTTATGATGCTACATAGAATGGAACTTTTAAAATCCTATTTATATTGAGACTTTGCAAATGTAAAGCATAAAATTTATAAAACAAATAAAAACATTTTATAATTACAAAAAGTGAATATACATACGCTTGAGAATTTTGAATTCTGGCCCAGCGAGTATCACCAATTTCATTCCGTAACTCATTAAGTTTCTTTTCTTTGCGTTGGATGGAATTTTTTAACATAACAATATCATCTTCAATCTAAATGAAAAAAATTTATAAATTAATAGATTCACCAAATAAAAAAAAAAAAAAAAAAAGGAATTTTATATACTTTTAAAATATTGCAGCTTTGAATCAATTTAAAAACAAAAACAAAAAAACTATTTAAATAATATATTTGAACAGCAAATGTACTTGAACAACAACAAATGATTTCAAAAGATTATTTTATAGATATACTTTTGAAATAGAATAATTTATATATTTATTCAAAATATAACAATCAGGATAAAAAAAAATTTCTATGTAATTTAATTTAAGTAAAATTATTTTTTACATTCTTCATCAGACCTCATCTTAAGTAAAACAACTTGAAAGCAGATTAAATTGCTATACAACTGCATAAGCAAGTCAATAAATTAAACGTAACTAATTTGTAAATGCAGAAAACTCTTTATAACCATGATGATAATTGTAGAAAAATTTTAACAATTTGTCTAGGTTTGATATCTACTGTTGCGCACTTGTTCAGTTTCTCACTCCTGTGATTGGCTGATTATGATGAAAAATTTTATGCTAATTAAGAATCATATAAAAATTTTAGGTACTCTAACTTGGTGGTAAAGTTTAAGAAATTAGAGTAAAAACATTGCACTCATAGCTATAACTGAAACCATATGTGAGGTTTAGACCCAAACCAGTTTGGTGGTAAAGTGTTTGTTAACTTGCAAAAAGCACTGATACACAGTACTGATACTGTCAACCACAAAGTTCTGATGTCAAAATTATATCATTTATAGTGTAGGAGGAATTACTCTGAATTGGTTTAAGTTAAATCTATATAATTGTTTACAGAGTGTTAATACTGCAAATACCTCTTCCTTTAATAAGTTCACGCCATAAGGTATTCCTCAGAGTTCAACCCTGGGTTCCCTTCTTTTTCTTATAAATATAAATGATTTCTACAAATGTGTTATGTAATCAGCAAATTTTTTGTCGATGATACCAATTTGCTGATAGTAGATAAATCTTTAAAAAATCTTTAAGTACCTAAATTATGACTTGACATCTTGGTAAATGGTTATGATTAAATAAAATATCCTTAAATAAAATTAAAAAACTGAACTAATACTCTTTAAACATCAACTCAAAAAAATTATTGAAAAACCTAATTTTAAAATCAGTGGTTAAAAACTAAATTTTGTTAAAAAAATAAAGTATTAAGGCATTTTATTGGATACAAATCTTATCCAACAAATAAAATCCATATTAATCAAACTAATTCAAGCAAGTGGAATTCAAGCAAGTGGAATTCAAGCAAGTGGAATTCAAGCAAGTGGAATTCAAGCAAGTGGAATTCAAGCAAGTGGAATTCAAGCAAGTGGAATTCAAGCAAGTGGAATTCAAGCAATTGTGAATAACATCCAGAATGCCCAGCTGCTAAAAATTATATTCACAAAATCACTCAACACCAAAATCTTAGATCTATATCTAAAAAAAAATTTTATTATTTTTATAAATTAGTTCTTTTATTAAACCTAAAATTTCAATGCCAATGCATACATTGCTACCAAGCTCACAAGAATTTTTTTATTTCTTTTCTTTTCACATAATAAACACTTTTTCTTAAGGCTAAATATTTTAAGTCTGAAACCGGTTTTCAAGTTTCGATGTGATGACACAGACTCAAAGCTACATTTTCAATTTATTCATCAAAATTGATTTGCTCTACAAGCATAGAATTATAATTCTTTTGGGGAAAAAGGTATGACTCAAATGATTTAAATAATTCCATTTGTAAAAAGAATAAAAATGTTTTCTCATTAGCAAAAATTACTTCCAATTTGTATGTAACAAACTTTGCATAATCATCATCTAATTTTAAAACTTAAAGATTTAAAACTAATAGTGTAAATTCTTTCAATTTTTTTAAACTCTACAAATTATGTACCCTGCAATATTAAACAAACAATTTTTTAAAACACTTCCATTAAAATAACTTCTGGTATATTATTATGCTACAGTTTGTTCCATCATATAGAAATTTCTATAAGTATAAAAAAATAAAGCATGGTTAGCTTGGCAATGTTTAGGTAATGCAACAACTTTATAGCGTAAGCTTGTAGATGTAACAGCATATTTACACTTTCAGTTATTGAGATTTCATAAAAAATTAAAGCACATTTTTTATACATTTGCTTTAGTTTTCATAAACTCAAAAACTTTTTCTAATTTCTTTAATTTTGCATTTATAAATCTTGTATAAATGAATTTTTATCAATCTCAGTATTGCTAAGTGATTAGACACTCCATTGTAGTTATTTTAACTAAAAGGTTTCCCACAACTTCTTCACTTTCTATACAATTTAAAAAAAGGGCTTAACTGAATTTTTTGCTTATGTTTTGGAGTAACATGGTTAAAGATTGTAAAAATTGCATTAAGTTAAAGTTTTCTTAATCCATCTTTTTTTTTTTTTTTTTTTTTAAAGTGTACCTAAATAAAATATATGATTGATAATTATGTATTTGTAAGGATTTTATGATGAATCATTTCTAGAATGAATTACTTACAAAAAAAAGCTTACTTCACATAAAGCTTGTGTTTGTAGATATTCAGTTCAGTTGTTTAACTTTAGAAGTCCAAATAACTTGATGTTTTTGATTTCTTGGGAAGCATTTTATATGAAATCCATTCTTAGGTCTGTTATGGCAGCCCACTGCAGCACAAACAAGCATACTTTAAAAATATTTAACTTAGTTTTTTAAGTAGTTTTCACAAACAGTTTCTTTTTTTTTCCTTCTTATTTCTTTTTTTGCCAATACATGGCATCTAAAACCATAAAAATTGAACATCCAATCAAAAACAATCATGTATGCCTGCTCTGAGTAAACAGGCTCTCTAAGTCAATCAAGTATCAGTCAATTCAGAATTCTCTTTTTATTATTATTATTATAAATAATAAACGGATATTGTTTTTAGTGATTTTTTTTATAGATTCATTTATTTCTCCTTAAATAATTATGACAGATTAAACAATTCAGGACCTCAATTTAAAAAAAACTGTTCTACTGAAATCTTTTTTTCAAACTATGATTAGATTTTCTTCTGTTTCTTTACGCTTTTTTCTCCTGTTTATTTATATTTTTGTTGTTTTCGTTACTATTGTTATTATCTTTATTCTATTATCTTTTTTTTTAAATTATTATTTCTATTAAAGATGTCACTTTTTCCAAAATAATGTTTTTACTTTATTATTATTTAAAAAAAGTAGAATTAAAAAATTCATCTTTTTTAAACTTTGTTATCAAATTAGAGTATTTTCATTAAATTTTCAGATCTATATAATTTTTTAAACAGTCCATATTGCTGCTAGACATATATATCACAACTCTTATTATTACTACTGTTGAAAAAAGCATTAGTTAACGCAGTATTAATTTTTTTATTTTTTATTAACATAAAATAAAGAAAGACAGGTTTCATTAAAAGTAGAACACGGGTATTTGTAATTAACTACTGACTTTACCCTAACTAAACGAATGCAACTTTAACATTAATAATTAATGTATGACTTAATTTTATGACGTTATGGAACCTTTTTAATCTCTTGAATAACTTCTTCTCTCCTCTCGTCTGATACTTCTGGAATCACAGTTTTCCCATCGTTATTTTCATTTATATTTTCAGCTAAGTCAACGCTTGAAACTTTCGGGCCAGTTGCCATTTTTGTTTGTAATTAAAACGTCATCTAAGGTCGAATATAAAGCAATATTTGTAAACAAATCACTCTCCCCCGTATTATATAGAAATAAACAACTTCGGTTGACGATAGTGCAACGTCAAATGATGCGTAACATTTAAAATCGATGATCGAATATTATTTTGGAAATCAATTTTTTAACTCTAATATTAAAAAAATTACCGTAAAGAACACCCAAAATCTAAATTTTATTTTGTTATTCACTTTGTTTTTTTTTTTTATATCCTCCATATAAATCTATATTTCTTTAGCCTGTATTTTTTGGTATTTGACTTTCCTTGAAAATCATAACTATGTGTTATTTACAACTCTTAATTCAATGAGATCGGAAACTGTACATAATCATAACTTAAGAACGCTGAGTTTGTTAAACAAAATTAAAACCCTATTGACGAATATAAATTTAATATAGGTCAGAAAAAAAGTTATTTAATTATACCTAAAATTTTCGTATATCAACAAAAATATTTTAAAGTGAAAAGCTATTCATTTACGTAACTAAATTTTATTGAGCACATCTGCCACTATACAAGACGTTATTGCTTTTAAACATAAAAAAGGGCTAGTTTCATTCTTAATATCTTGTTACTTTTAAACATAACAAAAGCCTAGTTCTATCTATACACGATATCCAGTAGCCAATCCCATAATTTTTTTTTCGAAAACCAATTTTTATGCGGAGTGGCGTAGATGTCATATTTTTATAAAAAAAAAAATTGTTTTTTATTTTTTTTTGAAGAGGCATTCGCGCCGATTGTTCAAAGTTACGTTTTTTATGCTTTTTGACTAAATTTAGAGCAATTTTTAAGCATTGGCGCAAAAAGATTCAGATGTCAAATCCAGTTAATTTGCTCAACGATATTTTCTTAATGTGTTCCTGTACCAAAAAAAAAAAAAATAAAAAATACTGTGCTCATTAGTTTAAGAAATATGTTGTACCTATCTTTTACTGATTACGATAGATGAATTAACACTTTGGGTATTGTAAAGTGATTTTTTGTTAATCTTTGAGTTTTTTTCCAGTCTTATGACAAATTTTATAATTTTTACCTCATTTTGGTATCAAATAATGTTGTTTTTTTTAAATACTATTACTGGAGCCTTAGATCAAATAAATCCAAATCCAAAATGGTTTTCTTAAAAGATTGCGTAAGGGACTTTCGATCTTTTGTCGTAAACTAAATTAGATCTAAACGTATCAATGTGATTCAAAAGTATATAAAAACATTTTTTCTGGGGTTGTTTTAAGTACTCCAAGAAGACCTAATGGTCGCATCACAGAGCACAACAGAAGAGCATTCAACTTGGAAGTTTACGCATGCTTTATGTCGAAAAAAAGCTTAGAGTAGGCATCGAACCACAGATCAGTGAAGGATCTAGCATTTTTTGGGGTTTGAGATGGCGCAAACTCTAAACATTTGTATGTTTAAACTTATGTCAAATAATGATGCTTTGCAAAATATTGCAATGATTGGAAGCTGAGAACTAAAAATTTCATCTTTCCTGCCCCAAATGTGAGAGCAACAAATTAGTAAAATTTTTTTTTTGCTATTCTTAACTAAGCTTATATTCAACAATAAATTTTAAGTAATATCATAGTAATATCTGTTAGCGTTCATAAATTATGACCATATAAAGTTTAAACCCTCCTCAATTTGAGGGGGTTACAAATTTTATATGTTCATAATTTTTGAACGCTTAGAGATAGTAAAAAAATATTTAAAATTTATCGATAAATATAAATTTAGTTGAGAATAGCAAAAAATTTATTTAATCAACTTGTTGCTTTCATATTTGGGGCTCGGGGAATAAAATTTTACTGTTTTTTTTGTTCCCAGCCTACAATCATTGCAACTTTTTAAAAAGCATCATTATTTGATTTAAGTATAAAAATAAAAATGTTTGGATTTCGTTCCATGTTAGCTATCTTAAACACCAAAAAATGCTGAATCCGTCACTGCCACAGATATCTTGTTTCTGATGCAAATTTTATTCAGAATTCAACGTTTAAACGCTGCAAATTTGCAATAAATATTTATATACATATAAATTTTCAGCTAAAGACAAATATTTGAAGAAAACATGTAATAAAAATAATTTATAATGTACTTTTAAGGTTCAGAGTTAGATATTGGATTAAAATCATTTTATGCAGTTAGATATTGGATCAAAATCATTTTATTATAACCATTAAATAACGAGAAAGCTGTCGCTGTAGCGACAGCTTTCTCGTTACTCCTTGAATCCACTTGTCGTTCTTTCTCGTTGCTCCTTGAATCCACTCGTCTTCTTTTTTAATGATTTTTTACAAGTAATTTTTATTTGAAGTAGCTTCTAAAGCTTCTCTTTGCTCATCACACGCTTTACATTATCTTGAATAAATTTTACAGTAAGCAGAGCAAAAATGAATTTTTTATTACGGAATATTTTTCTTAAGACAATACGTTTCTTGTTTGAGGAAATAAATACCCTACCCTGTAATTCATTTTTAAAAACAAGAAATATATTTCTTGTTTTGAGAAATAAATTTCTTAAACTATGGTCAATAGATTTACTATTTTGTTGTGAGTTTTGATGAGTTGTAAGCAACTTTGAAAGATTTTAAAAGTTTTGGAATTCATTGGATTCAAAAAGTCTGAGGGAGTCTCATCCATAGGCATTTTTTCAAACTGTAACCTTGAATATCAAAAATTAACCAGTCTGGTGAAATATACAACTCAAGACCTAGTGGCTGGTCTTTACCAACAAAAACTGCTTTCAGAAGAATTTCAGCTTTGATTCTATCCGTTTTTACATCTTTTCAGACCTCTATTTGTTTTTGAATACATAACATTTTACCATTTTTATATTGTGATCTTAATCAAATGCTACCAGCACCAAACACCTCTTTGGTTTTACCATGATTTGAATTTCACATCTGTAGCAGGCTCAATACACAATAGTCTTATTGATCTTCAAAGCGTAAGTTAAAAATAATGCAATGTAGACAAAATAAGGTTTAAAATGACACTGATATCAGTGTCATTTTAAACCTTATTTTATCTAACATTACATTATTTTTAGCTTACACCTTTAAAATTAACAAGACTATTGGCAGATGTATATTGAGCCTGCTGCAGATGTGAAATTCAAATCATGGTAAAACCACAGAGGTGTTTGGTGCTGGTGGCTTTTAACCACAAAAACACTGGTTTGTAAAAGGGTTTAAAATCAGATGTAAAATACAAAGAAAATAACTCTTAACCAATTTTTCTCTCCAATGACAGACTTTTCTTGAAATCAGTAGAGTTTCATTAAATATAATGAGTTTTTATCGATAAAAACTCATTACATTTAATTTTGACAAGATAAAATCAATGTACTGTTTCTATTGATTTCATTTTGATTACATTTCTACTGATTTTAAAAAAAGTCTGTCTTTGGAGAGAATTGGAGAGAGAATTGGAGAGAAAAATTGGTTAAGAGTTATTTTCTTTGTATTTTACATCTGATTTTAAATCCTTTTACAAACCAGCGCACAGTGGGCCAGAATGGCAAATTTTGAGAAAAAAACTAATAACTAATTTATTATTATCAAATTTGGCACGAGTACTAATATGAGGTTTGGGCTTTTTTTGAAGGTACTTTTTTTATTATTTTGTTGCTATGGATACCTTATTTTGCATAGCAACAAGTTATTTTAGGGAGTTGCAGTTTTTTTATATATACTATTTTCACTATACTTGTTATGCGTATTTATATGAAATCAATGATACTTATGAAAGTAGTATTTTTTTTATTTGGTTGCTATGGATACCTAATTTTGCATAGCAACAACCTTTTTATGCTAGTTGTAGTGTTTATTTGTACTTTGTACAGTATATTTGGTACTTATATCTCTTATTGTTTCTATATTTCTTATTTTTTATTGATTGCCACACTTGAAAAAAACGGTTTTGTCTACTACCTGGGCCATTGTGCATGAATCCTTCTCTTACATTACTCAAATTTTCAAAAAACCTAGCTAAAGATCAAAACATGAAAACCATTATTTTTATCTTGTTATTTTGTAATAACGTAAACTAAGTCCTATTTCATTTTATTATTTAAAAAACAAGTTCATAAATTTTAAAGTTACCTATACCGTTGCAGTTAAACATCTCCTATTGAAAACATATTTTTTTTGTAGTTTTACAATCAATAAAAGTATTTGACCAAATAGTTAGATAAAAACTTATATGCAAAAACTAAAAAGTTAAAAAAAGACGGAAGACCAAAAACTAATTTCAATAAAGCATCAACTAAAACAAAACAAAGAAAAATAAGCAGTTTCGTGAAAAAAAAAAAATACACCAGAAAAATTATTACTTGCTGGAAGTAAAAAATGTAAAAAAATAGTAAATTTACCAGTCGCAAAAACATTTTCAGCTGATGAAGCGCTTGCTTTAATTTTAGATTGTGAGCTGACTAAAAATGCATATCAACTTATAAGATCTGCAGCAGCAATTAAAGGCCGCAATATCTTGTATCCAGCATATAATAATGTGATATTAACAGTTGTTCAGCATCAGTTAATATGCAATCTCTTAAATCATACTGCATTAAGATTGGTCTCTTTACAAACTAATGCTATCTCACAAAGTTGTGTATCAAGATTAACTTTAAGATCAAAAGTCGGTTTTGATGATGCAACAGGTCAGGCAATATACAAACAATTTGCGCTAGATCAAGATGTATGCAATCTTAGTATTGAAGGAAGCCTGTTTATTACCTGCTTTGTTCCATTAGAGTTAAGTGGATTTATTGGTACAGAAAAAAAATTATTTTTGCTTAATCCTCGTCCTTTTTCAACAATGTTTTTGTAGACCAATAAGGTTTAGATATGTAAAAGAAACAAGTGAAGTCATCAAAGCAGAGAAACAGTTCATTGAAAGTCAAAAACTTGAGTTAACAGTTTTATCGAATGGTTCAACGTTGCAACATATATTAGAATTAACCATGATAGATGGAAAGGTCACTAATGCTCTGTCTAAAAAAAAAAAATTCAGCTCAATGTTGCCCAGTGTGTGGAATAACTCCATCCAAGATGAATAACATTGATGCATGTCAAAAAAAGTTACGGTTTAAAAACAGAAGTTAAGTATGGCTTGTCAACATTACTTGCCTGGATAAAGTGCATGGAATGCTTTTTACATGTTGCCTACAAATCCAAAATCAAGAAATGGCGAGTACATGGAGCTGTTGAAAAAAAGTATGTAAAAAAAAAGAAAAACGCAAATTAATTGAAGACTTGGTTTAGTTGTTGACATGCCTAAAGCTAATGACTCTGGCACTATTAATAATGGCAACACTGCACGTTGTTTCTTTAGGGAATCTGAAAAAGTATCTAGTATAATTGGTTTACCAAAAACTTTTCTTAACAACTTCTTTGTGATCCAGTGTACATTATCCAGTGGTCCAGGTGTTGATGCTGTTAAATTCTAAAAGTATTGATTACAAGTTGCTCCCACGTAGGTAAATTTATTTCCATGGTATTACATGCCAGCAAGTATTCATAAAACTCTTTTTCATGGTCATTCAGTTATAAGAAGAATGTTTCTTTCAATAGGCATGTTATCAGAAGAAGCTCAAGAAGCAACAAACAAACTTTAAAAAAAAAATTGTGAACATTCTAGTCGTAAAATGTCCAGACTGAAGAATAATGAAGACTTACTAAGACTACTACTATGTTCATCTGATCCATATATTAGCAGTTTGAGAAAACCAGTATCAAATTCTAATAAAATTCAACTTCCACATGAAGCAATTCAACTATTAAAATTGTCAAGCTTTAAACAATATATCTAAGTTACATTCTTTATTAGAACAATTTTGTTATTTTAATCTGAATTATTGTTGGTATAGCTACAGTGCAGTGTTTTATAAATGATTTATAACTACAATGTTTTATCTTTGCTATAAATATAATATAATGTTTACCATACTGGCGTTAAACAGGGGGCGAAGATAATAATTGCCCCCCCTTCCAACCAACCCAAAACTCCCATTTTTCATTCTAGTTCTGATTCTGACTGGTTTAGCCCCCCTTATATTTTTCAGTTCACCTAACTTTCTTGACCTTTCTAAGCCACTGGTTTACGATACTTAAATTTATAGATGAAGTTTGTTGTAATATATTAAATTCACAGTTTTTAACATTCGCGCAAATACGGAGTATTTTATGAATTTTGTATAAAACTAAATATCAATCAATCAATCAATTATATATTCTGGAAAAAAGATATAACTTCCACGGTCGTTACAAATAGTTATAAAAACTAATATAAAGTAAAAACCTCTTTGATGATATAAAACATATTATAGACACATAGTTATAGTTATAATAAAAATAGCAATAAATTTACAAAACAACAATAATAAAAATAGTTAATTGTATAATTAATTAATTGTATAATTGAATATGACAACAAAAAGCTTATTGTTATAAAAAAATGAGGTATCTATAGCAATCAATAATAAAAAAATATCCCTCGAAGCGGAGACCTTATATTTTTACTAATTCCAAATTTAGTTAATATAAAAATATCGGTTAAATTCTATATTAGTTTTCTTCAAAAATAGTTGTTCTGGTCTGCTGTACATTGTACCCCCCCCCCCCCTCTCCAAGCTTTTTTCCTTATTTTTGAACTTTATTATAAAATATATAGTTAGAGACTTTGCAACAATATACGAAAAAAAAATTTCTTATATTTTCACATTTTGAAAGACAGTTTTGTCCACTATCTGGCCCATTATCTATGAAATGCAGTGGTACTAAGGATTTTTTATTTGCTTGATACCTGGCAAAGGTTCATTTTGCATAGTTACTAGCTTAAATTTTAAAGTTATAAACAAGACTAATATTAATGTGGCATTCTGATCGAAACACATATCCAATTACTAATTTTAGGTGTTTTTATACAGTTCTAGGGCTTTTATATTTCATAAAACTACTACATAATCCACATAAAAAATAACCTAAAGCTTAAACCTTTTTGTGTATATAAAATGAAAATTTTGGTTTAAAATTTATTTTCATACCAAAACTCATATATTCTGATAATTTTAAAGCAGCTTTAGCTTCTTTTTTTATACCATCTTCATTTTTTATACCATTAGCGCAAACTACAATTCGATGCAAACAATAGTTCAGAAGATGAAAAAGATACGACTGAAAAATGGCGCCAATCTTCTTCCCTTTATTTTATTACTTAAAGTATCATACTTCACCTGGGGTCAGCCAGACACTACAGTTAAATAAGAGCAGTTATCTTTATCAATGGAGGCAGTCAGAATAGAAATTATCAAGCAGGCAGAAGTATATTCTTATTATCAATTACAAATTGAACCGATATCTGTTCATTTTGTAGCAATTGTTTGTTATTCTTTTCGAAACAAATTTTAGAGCTTTTGCATGTATTCCACCTTTGTCAAAGATGCTTTATGAAATTAGACAAGTTATTATTTGCAGTTAAGTTCATGCCATTGGCAACTACACTCCAAAATATTAGATTAACTAATTTCAAGTTTTGTATTATATATGAACAAGTATCAATATTTTTTGTTTTAAATATTTAAAAACATGAGTTACACTTACAAAAACTTTAAAATTCACAATTTAGTTAGGTTTATAATCCACGGATTATAAACCTAACTAAATTGATAATATACATATTATCAATTTAGTTAGGTTTATAATCCGTGGATGTCCGCCTGGCTTTATGCGGCGAAAACATTTATTTATTTTAAATGGTTATGTAATTATTGGTTTTCAGTAAGTCTATATTAGTGTTACAAACTTGTTTTAATATTAATATATCTTAAAATATCTATTTTAAAGTTTTTATTGAACAATATATTTTAACTCTCAAATTACAAATTACCCTAAAAGTATTCGATTATATAAGTGAAATTTTAACTGAAAAAAGTACTTCAAATACGCCGCCATTTGAAATCATTTTATTTGACATTATGTACGTGCAAAATAGTGTTGCAATAGCTCATTTGAAAGATAATACTTGATTTTATTAAATTACGGTATAAAAAGATTTTTTTTTTTTTTTTTAAAAAAAAAGGTTTTTAATCTGCAAACATAAGGCATGGTTATACAAAATATAAATTTTGTATGATTAGACAAAAATATATACAAAAATATATTTTATACATGTTATAAAAGCTGAATGTTTAAGCTATAAAATGGTATATAATGTAATTTTTAAGAATGTATCTTTTTACTCTTGTCCATGACCTGGCCCACAGTACAGACGTAACTTATGTTAAAAAAAAACTTACTTAAAAATAATTAAACTTATGACAAAATGCCAACTAGCTTTGTCTACTTTACAGTTTTCATGCAAAAAAAGATTTATAAAAGAAGGACATTATTACCTTTTTTCTACTTGAACATTTTTTTCGTCAACATTATTGTTAATATACAAGGAAAAAACAGCAGTTAAAAAAAAAAAAATCTTTTTCAAGAAAAAAGAACCGTTTAAATCAATAAAAAAATACTTTCAATTTATAAAAGTCGGCACAAAATATAACTTTACAAAATTTATACAACTTTTAAAAAATATATATAACTTTTAAAATATATAAAACTTTATAAAAAATGTAAATTTAAATTTTTTAAAAAAATAAAATTTTGATTAAAAAAAAACAAACAAAAAAAAAACAGTAACAACTTAACGTTAAAAAATTATTTTTTAAACAGTAAAAACTTGTTTCTTTAAATGTAACCAAAATGCACTTGTTACCCATATGGACGTTCCAAAAGTTGCCACAACTAAGCTTGATATATGAGTAACATCTTGCTCATTCCAGTATATATTAAAAGACACTAAACTATGTCCAATGTAAATAAACATTGAGTTAACACCTAAATATCGTCAATAAATAATTTGTAAAAGTTTAACTTTATTAGCCAACAAAACAAAAAAAAGAACAACGATCCCAAACAAAAATAAACACACCCTCAAGACCTTCGAATATTTAATGGGTCCCTAACATTTTCAAAAAAAAAAGTTTTTCAAAAATATTTTAACCTGCTACTCAAATGAAGCGAAATTATATAAAATTTCAAAAATTATATTTTTTTTTGAAAAAAATTGTAATTTTTGGTTTTATTACTTAAAAAATTACGTCTTTTTACAAAAAATGAAAAAAATGCATTTTTTATGATAATTTTGATGAATAAGTTGGAAAGGTTGACATATTTTTGAAAAACTTTTTTTGTGAAAATATTAGGAACCCATTAAATATTCAAGAGTCGTGAGGGTCCCCTAAAAATACTTTTTATTTAAAAAAATTTTAAACCTAATATTTTTGTATTAGATAGAACACATTTAGGGGGTGGGAGCAGGTTTTTCTCAAAAAAGTTGTTTTAAGGGCCACCCTAATATATATATATATATATATATATATATATATATATATATATATATATAATATATATATATATATATATATATATATATATATATATATATATATATATATATATATATATATATATATATATATATATATATATATATATATGTATATATATGTATATATATATATATAACAATAACAAATATATATAAAAATATATATAATAATAATATAATAATATAAACAAATATATACAAAATATATACAAAATAAATATATATATATATATATATATATATATATATATATACAAAATAAAAAAACAAATATATATAAAATTAACAAAGAAATTCTATATAACAAATAAATTTAATTATTATATTATCAACTTATTTTTATTTATAGAATATTCACTATTTTTTATTATTGTTCATTTGTTAAATAATTATTTAATATCATTATAAAATGTTAAAAAAAAGCAAACAAAAAATACCACAAAAAAAGAAAGGTGATCCATTCCAAACATGAAAAATATCACAAAGAATGTAACAGAAACTAAACAGCAAAAATGACGTTGCACTTGTTGCCATGACAAATGATAACGACCTAAAATAAAATATATTTTAAACGTCGATCTACTATATTAAAAACATAAATAATTTAGTTTAAGTACCATAGATTTTTATTAATCGGGATTAACCCGTTGTTAAGACTTCCACTAGTAAGTCCAAAAGCTATTCCACCCTAAAATGCAAGTTAAATTTTCTAAGAAATACATAGATAACTGTTTTTTAATACCATAATTAAGTACTTATAATTATCATAAATAATAAATAAAATCCTAAATTATATAATTATATATTGTTAAAAAGTAAGCAAAAAATATTGAAGATGGAATTCAAGTTTCGTATACATTTTATGAATATTTACTTATACTCTTATTAATAACAAATATTGTACTCAATAATAAAAATACCGTAATTAAAGTCCATATGAACCATCTTAAAACCTGACTTTTATGTGATTTGTACATAAACATGATACGACCTGCCTGAAAATAAAAACTGGGTTTTTATGCATTGCATTTATGCAATTTATACATTGCATTAAATTTTCAAAATTTAAGAATAGATTTAGACTTTTTATTTCAATTTATCTCAATAAAAAAAAGAACTAAATTAGACTTGGTATTAGTGTTTTTATTGACTTTGGCTAAATCGACAAAAAGTTGACTAGTCGAAAGTCAAAAATAGTCGACTTTGTAAAATCTAATAGCCGATTAAATCGACTATGGATTTCCTACTAACCAACCAAAATTTGATTTAATCTATTAACAATCTTAAAATCCTAATAACTATTTATTCAATTTAAGTTTTTCAATCTTTAATTTTTGTTTGTTCAATTATTAACAATAGCATGGACATGGTCCTAGCTTTTTGTTTACTATCTTATATTTTATCTAATTCATTGCATGTTAACAATATTTATATCTAATTAAACTTTGGTTATATATTTCATTAATTTGTTTGTTTGTTTGTTTATTCTATGTTTAAGATTTTTTAAAATACTTTTAAATAGGGCCATTCCAAGCTGACTTGGCAAAATTAAATCGTAAGGCTCTAAATTATAAATGTTATCTATACAATCCTACTAAATCAAGTTTAAGTTGACTTTAATTTTTAAAAAAGTCAATTTTAGTTGACTTTAGAAAATGTATTACTCAGTTTAGTAAACAGTCAAACTATTTAAAAGTCGTATCAACAATACTTGTAATCTCAAAGTATCTCAACCAAATAAAAGATCTAAAAAAATGTTTTTTAGTAATTTTTAATTTACTAACATATATATAAATATATATGTTAGTAAACTTGAGGCAGTTAAAACAAAAAAGTTATTTTCAAAAAGGATAGTCTCTGCTCTATATTGCTTTCTTCTAACAAAACTTTTTATTTTGGCAAATCTTTTTTCCTCAGTAAACTAAAAATTATGGTTCAAAAAATTTTAATAATATTAAATTTTATTTCATTAACTATAGCAGCTTTATAATCAAATTAAGACCACTTAAATCCCAGTCAGCAGTCTCAAGCCTGCAGCTTTATACTAATCAAACCAAGACCACTTAATTCCCAGTCAATCACTACAAATGATCAGAACAGCCAATCACTATAGTCAATCACTACAGTTAATTGCTATAATTTATCACTATAGCTCATAGAGATCAACTCACTATAGCGACAACAATAGCCTATCACTACAGTCAAAGATTATAAAGTCAATTCTAGAGCCAACAGCCAACTTCTAGTCAATTCTAGAGCAGCTGTAGCGCAGTGGTTAGCGCTTGCTTGAGAAGCTAGAGATCCGTGGTTCAATGCCCCCTATGAGGAAGTTTATGACATTGGTAAGGAAGGAGACGTGAACTTCCTTTCAAATGCTTGTCTGCGGTGCTCTGTGATAAGACTGTAAGGATTAATTATATGTGGGTGTGTGTGTATATATATATATATATATATATATATATATATATATATATATATATATATATATTTATATATATATATATATGTATATGTATATGTATATATATATATATATATATATATATACATATATATATACATATATATATACATACATATATACATACATACATATATATATATATATATATATATATATATATATATATATACATATATATATATATATATATATACACACACACAGTGGTGTACACTGGATTTTTAGTTGTTTGAGTTTTGACACTTACAGGCATAGAGATGCAAAAAAACATGTGTTTTTTTTTTTGGAGTTTTTTTTTGGCTTTTACAGTTCCTTTTAGTGTTTTTGTAAACTTTTAACTTTTTAAAAACGTTTCCAACTTATCTAAAATGTTTAGTTTTGTTTGAGTATTTTAGATTCTATATTAGGTTCTTTTAAGATTAATCTATTTTCATTAAAGCCTGAACAGAGTTCACAAAAAAGTTAAATTAATGATTTTTTATTATTGCTAAAATAGTAAACAAACTAATTGTTTTTTTTAAAATTTGAATTCAAAAATTAATAAGAAAAAATTTTTTAAGTTTTTTTTATCTTAAACTCATCTACAGAAGAATCTTGACTAGAAAACTCTGGTTATTGGTCAAGTGACTCAAATTCTTGTTCAGGTCTTTTGACTCAAATTCTTGTTCAGGACTCTTTATCTGAAAGATTTGTTGGTTTGTGAGATTTATCTAAAATATTTATTGGTCCTTTAGGCAGAATTGGTTGTTGTGTTGCACACATATCGATTGCCTCAAGCTTCAAATTTTGTGATACTAGCACTAATTTTGCTGCTCTTTCATTTGTTAATCTGTTTCTTTTGGCACTGTGAATATTTGCATAACTGCTAAAACTTCTTTCGCAAGCAGCACTTATAGCAGGAAGCTGAAGAATTTTCGCTGCTACTTTTGATAATTTAGTAGATGAACATAATCCCTTCCACCAGTTTGGACCAAACGTTAGGTCAACAGTTGTCCATATAAAAGTTTTTGAAAAAACTCCTCCTTTACATTGGTAATTTGCTAAATTAGCCATCAAAGTATCTATTTTGGTATTAGGTGAGTTTGCAGCAATTGAATATATATTACTTCACATGCATCAATCTGTTAAAAATTTAGATAATGCATAATGGTTTTACTTAGTTTAATAAAAATAAACAAAAGTTGATAATAATTTAACCTTTTGTTCCCCATTTTAACCTTTTGTTCCCCATATCTTCCTTGATATTTGGGGTTAAGTAGATTAGCAGCCATATGAATTTTTGTTAAGCAAAATTTTTTTCTTTTAGCAAATAGTTCTTTCATTTCTACTTCCTCTTTTTTTAAGTTTGATTTCCTTTACAATATCTGTTGCTTGTGACATTAACACACAAAGAGTAGGTATTTTTATGAAATCATTAAAAAGCAAATTGAGACCATGAGATATACATCCATAGCAATTATGAAGAGGATAGCTGTTTTTTAATAGCATCCATGCCTTTTTCATGCTTGCTGCATTTTCTGTTACTATTCCCATAACTTTTTTAGGATTAATTTCTTGTAATACCTTACGTATTTCATCTGCTATGTATTCACCAGAATGACTTGATGAACCTGAAAATTATTACTTAGGTGTAAATACTTTACAAAATGTTTTGTTATAAAAGTAGAAAAAAGTTTTGTATGTGAAGAACTACGTTAAGAGTTGGGAGAGAGTTAAAAACAATAAATAAAAAAATGTATTTATTATTTATTTTTAAAAATAAATATACATTTATGTAAACTTTACCTGAAGGTAGTGATTTCCATAAAATAGGCAATGATAAAGGCAATATCAACACAAAGTTGATAACTGCTTCATTTCTGCAAAATGTCAATAGTTTTCAAGTTTTAATTTTTAAACTATTTGCATAAATAATACATTAGTTTTTTTGTTTAAATTTATTAGACTAATACTCACCTAGTATTACTCCATCCATCACACATAAGTCCTACAGAGTCTGCTATTGCAATTAATTCTTTAACATTGCTTGATATTCTATTGAATTCTTTATCCAAAAGTGTGTTTGATACTTTATACCTTGCTGGGAGCTGATAAGCTGGGCATAAGCTATTTAAAAAGGTTTTCCAGTATTTATTATCAACTAAACTCATGGGTGACCCACTTGTGTAAATAGCTCTAGATAGATGTACATCGATTGATTCCTATAACATTATTAATCTTAGATAAAAATTAAAAAGATATATACTATGCAAAAAAAAATGTTGATACCTTTTCACATTGTTTCATGCTATCAAACATTAAACAGGATATACCACTTTTAGAAATTGGTTCTGAATGTTTTGATGAAAATCTCATGATTTTTTTTGACATGTCTGTGTCATCATTTTAAAATTTGTATTTGACTTCAACTGGAAATTTCCTACATTTCTTTATATGCATGGTCATTCCTGTACCACTTTTTGACATAACATCATTGCAAAAAGAACATTGAACTCTTTCCATTTAGCTCACCTGGCTTGCTGGCTTGAATAAAATGCTCACAGATGTTTTCTTTCTACCTCCAGTGTGTCCACAGACTACTGTATTATTACTACTCATTACTATGTTCTAATCAAACAACTAAATGATGCGACTATTATGAATAGAAATCTGCTTCATTAATCCTTATAAAGGCTATATTCTAAAATAATTTCTAATATAATTCTAATTTCTAATATAATTCTAATAATAATATAATTCTAATATAATTTCTAATATAAATTCTAATATAATTAAATTATATTATTAAAAAAACTAAGAACAATCATTGTATTACTGAAAATTTACTTTACTACAAATTATGATAAACTGGTACATAAAGATTTTCAAAACAACAATATATCATCATTAGCAACCTTATGTTTCAAAACAGTTACCATAAAGGTATAAAATGAAAAAATAAAAATATTACAACAAACTTATGCAATATTATTTATAACATTATTGAAAATACTTTTTCCACTATCTGAAATTAAATGTTGACAAATTTAATTTATTTGCGATTGCAGGAATAAAATCAAAAAACAAAAAGCATAAAATAATGTAGCAAAATAAAATAAAAAAATTAAAACTATGCAAAACTTATACAATACATGTAAATTTTGCAATGCAGTGTTTTTTCATTTATAAATTAAAAAAATTCTCATTCATTCTACAAATTACAATAATTAGTTTTCATTCATTTTGTTGGAAAATTTGTTTTCAATGTTAAGAAAGAATTTTTTTGAACTCAAAAATATATCTACATAAAAAAAAAAAAAAAAAAAAAAAAGAAATCTCCTTTACTTATGTGTTTTATAAAAAAAATCTTTAAATAATTTTTTCAATTTTATTTTAGCTTATTATAAGTAAGTCATTAAAGAACAATTATTAAAGTTATTTGATGAACATTTAAAGAACTTGTAAAACAAGACAGATTAATGTTAAATAGGAGAATGACAAAGTCTTTTAATAAATATCACCTAAAAACAAACTGTTGAGATGATATTTATGAGAATGTTTTGCAAAGAGTTGCGTTGATTTTAGCTTGGGGACAAAAAAAAAAAAAAAATTTTTGGGCCCACCCAGCCCTTAACACGGGAGCAACAATTTTATAAAATAATTTCTTTAGTATTTTTATCTAGGTTTATATTCATCAACAAATTTCAAATTTCATACAATAACCTCTTAGTGTTTAGTTTTTATGACCCTCCAAATTTTACAGCCCCCTCAAATTGAGGAGGGTTGAAACTTTATATAGTCTTAATTTTCAAAAAATAAGAGATTATTGCATGAAATTTAAAATTTATTGATAAATATAAACTTAGATAAAAAAACTAAAGAAATTATTTTATAAACTTGTTGTTCCCACCTTAAGGGCTGGATGGGCCCAAAAATTGTTTTTTTTTTTTTTGTCCCCAAGCTAAAATCACCGCAACTTTTTGCATAACATTTACATTTGACATAAGCATGAACATACAAAAGTTTGAATTTTGCACAACGCCTGTAAGTGTCAAAACTCAAACATCTAAAAATCCAGTGTACACCACTGATATACAACCCTCAGAATTAGGGTTGGCATTCGGCTTCATTTCTATGTTTTATGGTAAGACCTTTGTATCAACTTTTTTTTACTGACCTGAGGCAAATTATTGTGGACCTCATTTTTCCTAATTCCAAGGGTTGTTTATATGTATATATCTTATACTGCTGAGTTAGGTGAGCATGATGATGTCATACTCACCTCACGTTAAATAGCCTGCTGCAGGGGGCTTCAGTACATACATCGAGTGACAAATAGCCTGACTCGCAGTAGAGTGCTGCTACATCGACTGAGAGTTTGGTATGGGTCAGCAACATTTTCATTCATTATTCTTCGTTTTCCCTCATTGTTTTCTAAAAATGCTCACTTAATTTAGGCTAGCAAAAAAAGTGAGCAATTGCGCATATAAATATGCTATAGTAGATATATATATATATATATATATTATATATATATATATACATACATACATACAATTATTTACAAGTAATTTTAATCAATTGTTAGCTTTAAAACAATCGTTAGCTATAATTACAACTATGCTGCCCTGATAAAAAAGAACACAGTAACTCAATTTTCAATAAAAATTTTTTTCAATGGGTCAATGAAAATAATACTATTCAGTATTATTTTCATTGACCTAGCGTGTAAGTAAGAACACTGTATATGATCTCCAAGTATCTGTTTTAGATGTTTTAATTTCACAGTATCTGCAGGAAATATAGCCAAACTTTGTAAGAATATGGTAATTGTGCAAAATGGATATTTTGCAGATACTGTTCTTTCACAGTATCAGCAAAAATACTAAATAAAAATAGATTTTTACAACAATTTTGAAAAAAGTTTTAAAATAAAAAAAACATATACTTGTAATCCGAAAAATGTAAGAACAATTGAAGTAAGATAACCAAGCAATCCTTCAGGATCAAAATTTTGTTTTGTAAGATAAATATTCTAAAAAAAATCACGAAGACAACAATTAAAAAATGAAAAAGCATGCTGGGAATAAAAAATATAATATATAATATATACAATACTATAAATGTTTGATATTTAAATTAATAAAAAAAAAAAAATATCAAAACTAATTTACTTTTAAACTAGGATTTCGGTATAAATGTTTTTCTCCAAATACTAATTTATCAATGTAACCTGCAGCTCCTCCTGTGCAATAAAAATATTTTCCACCTTCTGATAGACCGCCAGGACCAAGGTAACCTCTATAAAAGAAATTTTTAAAAATTAAAAAAAAAAGATTTATATAAAAAAAAAATTTTTTATAAATATAATTTTTACGTTGGACATCCTGGAACCGGTAGCCGAAAAGTGATAGCAGTATGAATAGCAAGAAGACAAAAAATAAAAAGCCATTGGATGCCAAATGGAATAATATCACACAGATGTGATACCCATTTAATAGAGGCAAAACGCTAAAAAAAAAAAAAAATTAAAAAAAAAATAATACTAAGTAAATATAATAACAAATAAAAAAAGATTAATCATTAACACCTTTATGGTTTGTTCACTAGGAGCTGTAAACAAGTTAAAAGAAGCTACTATAAAATAGGAAATGCCAATACGTTGCAAAACTCCAGGAATCCGCCATGTTGGTAAATTTTTTCCTAAACAAAAAAACAACAGATAATAATAAACTTTGTAAGTAAAAAAGATGAAATTTTAAAATTAAAAATTAATTTTAAATTAGTTCAAATAAAAATAAACATTTGAATAAATGTTTTGCAATGACCTGCATTTAGAATAAACCCAATTAAAAAAATCTTTATCGAACGAGTACATATAATCCAAAATGCTGCCAGTTTCTTGTTCTCTTGTTTTAGTAGACGCTTGTGAGAAAGATTGATGCTTAAACCCATGATAAATATAAACCAAGGAAAAACAAGATCAGATAAACTCAAACCTTAGAACAATAAATAAAAAAGCTTTTTAACAATTAAACACAAAGCATGACTAATCACAAAAGTTTGAGAAAATATATAACTAAAAAAACCATAAAGCATATATTGCGCCTAAAAATAAAAAAAGGTAACAGATAAAGGTAAATGTTAACCCTACAGTGTTTACTAAGCATGGGCATTTGGTGGTCTGTTAAAAACCGTTATTTTTCATTGCGTTAAAAAAGCTAACGAAATTTCCGTTAAAATCCGTTACATTAAAATTTATTAACGGTAATTTTCCGCTAATGGCCATTAACTTATTTTAACTTATTTTTTTTATCGAACTGTATATTTTGAAGTCTTTTTTTGCTCCTTGTCTTACATTTAACCGAACGTCGATTAAATGAAACTTTTTTTTAAACAACTTAAACAATTTTTTTTTTTTAAATTTTAATGGAAATTTCCTGTTTTTACTGCCCGTCAAAATTTTTTAATGTAACAGACGTTAACGGACGGATTTACCGGACAGAAAAATCAAATGCCCATGCTTAGTGCTTACTCCAACTATAAAAATACACTGTAGAAAAGTTAATAACAAATAAGAAGGGTGCGGGAAATAAAAGGTTGAAAACAGTTTGTCTACATGAGAGTTTTAAGATCCAGAGATGGTAAACAAGAGACACAGATGGTTAAACAAGTATCACAATGATTATAAAAATTTTTAATTTGTAAAATTTATGTAATAGATAAAAAAAAATTAAAAATCCAATGGATAATCCAATATATAAAACTAATAAATCAATAATAATAGGTCTAAATATGTAATATTACTTTATATGTTCTAACAACAAAAAATAACAATACAAAATATATTCAATTACTAATATAGAAATCCATGATATAGAAAAAGCAGCTACAATTGATTAGAAGTCAAAAGTAGCAAAACACCTTTAAAAACCTTTTCAATGTTATATATACAATTTATATAATTATATAATTAATATATACATTTTCATTGATTATTTAAATAAATTGCTAATCATTTTATTCAAAAGATTTAAAAAACTGTTCATAATAATATTAAAATTATTTAAAAAAAAATGTAAATATTTGTACTTACATTACTATAATTGAGTTGTTTTTTTTCTCAAATTTTACTTTTACTTAAGTATATATTTTTTAAATTATTGTACTATCCTACATTTTAAATCGTATATGTTACTGAATAAAAAAAATGTTGTTAAAAAAGAACTTGATTGATAAAAATGTTTTATAAAATTGTTATCTTATAATTTTTATTTATGTTTTAAGTAAAGTTACAAAGACACTAAAAACACGGCTAGTATACATTTCAAAATTTAATCTTTCTTTTAAAAGAAAATTTTAAAAAGAATTTTAAAAGAAAATTTAAAACAAAGTATTACTATCTTTACATTTTGTACAAAGTACTATATGAAAAAAAATAATAATAACTAATTATTTTCAATTAATTATATATCCTAGTTACACAATTATTGGCTTTATTTTGAAGATGTTCCTTGTATTTGAAAAAAAAAATTATTCAAAGCATTTTTTACTTATATGCATAGCGTGCATATCTTTGCAAAATATAATGAGAAATTTGTCAATTCTATGTTTTGCTTAAACTGATAAAACAAGTATTAAGTTATGACATTTTTTTAAATTGTATTACTTGTATATATATATATATATATATATATATATATATATATATATATATATATATATATATATATATATATATATACATATGTATAATACAGACATTGATTAATTGGTCAGAGTGATACAGATATTAGATGATTAGTGATAAAGATCTATCATCTTTTTAAAATTTATTAAACACAATAGTATTCAAACTATTTTTGAACAGATTTTTTGTTTGTTTATAACTACTTATAAACTTAAAAACAAAAAAACAAACAAAAAAACTGATTTTTATACTAACAACATAGCACAACAAAAATGCATCAAAAAAAGTAACAAAAATAACACCAAACCATTCCAAACAGAATGATCAATAAAATAGTATTGTCCACCGCCATAATTCACAAATACCATCAATACAATTGCAATTCTAAACATTTGCAATTAACTATATTATAATAAACTGTTATATTCAATTAATTACAATAATTATTTGTTCAATTACTCATTTAGTTTCAGTTAATTTTAAAATTAAGAGATTAAAATTTTAAATATCTTGTTACAGATTTAATATGCTAATTAATGTTTTAGGGTCATCAATCAAATCAATCAAATCAAATTATAGTCAAAATTTTGTTTCATAAAGAAAAAGAACATTATTTTAACAATTTGAAAAAAAAAATCTTTCTCTTATCTTTTTATAAAAATAAACAACTTTTGAATTTTTTTATTCATTTCTATTAGTTTTTATTAGGTTTGTATAAGATTAAAACATATAACATTTTATTTCCTAATGTTCTTAATTTTTTTATTCATATGTTAAAGGTTTAGTTTGAGCTAACAATCTAAGAGTAAAATAAAAAATAATTGACTTTAAAAGCTATTTGCTCAAAAATAAAATTAAAAACTCACCCTCTGAATGTATCTATAGATCTTATTCTGGCAGGTTTTCTCTGAAAATTAAAATCACATAAAAAAAATAAATTAAAATACACATTTTTTGCAGATTTAAAGCTGCTTAGTAGTAACTTATTTTGCTCAATTTAATTTTTAAATGCCGACTTTTAGTTTATGCACTAAAGCACCACTAATGGTTATTTCAGTATCAGTACACACTGATGATACTGATACATCATCATACATACATACATACACACACACATACATACACACACATACATACATACACACATACATACATACACACATACATACATACATACATACACACACATACATACATACATACACACACACACATACATACACACACATACATACATACATACACGCACATACATACATACATACATACATACATACATACATACATACATACATACATACATACATACATATTGAACTTGTAAGTTAGGTTTTTATTTTAATACAAGAATACATGATAATATTATACAATACTAAAGCTTATATAGTAAGTTTATGATGTTTTTAAAAATAAGAAACCTGTTTATATTTTTACGTGATGTTTCTGATGTAACTTTGTTGAATTGTTTTTTTTTTTTTCAATAGATCCTGAAGATGTGTGGATCATCATGCTTTTGGACCATAGGCAAAAACTTTAAACATTCTTTCACATAAAAACTGGAGTTTATATTACTGTTTGTAAAAAATGGCTGAGTTTTAAAACTACACAAACCATAACTTTCTTGCTAAATTTTTGATTATTATTGTTTTTAGTAAAATATCAGTTTTCGATTCTCATGAGCAGCTTTTGATCATCTTTTGATCGAGTTATAAACTTGATCTTAAACTTGATAAACTTGATTACCAATCTGTAACCACTCCACAATTTGATAACTCAACTGATAGTTTTTTTTTTTTCAAACTTTTTTAATAGCAAATTAATTGGAACATAATGATTTTTAAGTCACCCATCCATAACAAACTTTGTCACTTCTACTTGCAAATACATTTTCATTGTTTACAAGTAACTTTTTTTAAACCATTTGTAAAAATGTACAAACTATTGTTTTAAAGGGAGATAAACACAAATAAATGTCTCATTTGATGTTAATCAATCCAGAGATGCAGAAAAAAAATAAAATGTTATCGATCAATTGATTTTTTAATATTTCTTATTCTTAATGTACTTTTGTGTATTTGACTTTTTATATTTTATATAAAATTTTGAATTAATTTTGAATATATTAAAAAATATATCACAAGTAAACCATAAAAACCATATAAATTTAATTTTTTTCTCATTTAATTATCTAAAAATAAAAGCTGAATAAAGTTTCATAAAACTCTTTACAATTTCTTTTTTCTTTTTCAAAATGTTTTTACTGTCAAGTATAAAACAATATACTTAACTCTTGAAATTTAAACTTTGGGTATATATGGGTAACTTGAGTTCATCTTTTAGGTAAAATTTTAAAATTTAGGAGGATTTTATCAAGTTTTTTTTATTTATTATTTTATTTTGTCCACATTTATCTGCCACAATAATTTTTATTGCGGCAATAAACCATCATGAATCATTATGAATCATCATAGACCATCTTGATCCATCATGAATTATCATAATCCATCATGAACCATCATGAATTATTATGAACAATCATGATCCATCATAAATCATCCTGAATAATCAAATGCCATTAATTATCAACCAATATCTATTTTCTCTGGTTTTTTAAAAACTTTACATAGAAATTTATTCAACCAAATATCTAATCATTTTACTATTAATATTATAATTTTAAAAAATCAATATGGCTTTAAAAGAAATAACTCTACTGAACATACAATAATTCATCTTATTTAAAGTATAAAAGATTCATATGAAAAGTCAAAATTTACTTTAAGTTTCTTTTATAGAAATATCTAAGGATTTTGACACTATGAAATTACCATGAAACACTATTTAAAAACATGAATATTATGGTATCACCAGTAGAGTTTTAATGCTACTAATCTATATAAAATATTGCAAACAACTTTGAAGGATCTTCTTCACATTTTCTAAATATTATCTGTGGAATTCCACAAGGATCTTTTTTAGGACCTTTATTATTTTTAAATTATGTTAACGATTTCTATAGTCTGAAAATTAACAACATTTGTATAATGAATAGGATTGTATAATGAGCAAACATAAGTTTGCTCATTATACAATCCTATTCCTATCTAATGATAAAATTTATAAACTTTTTTAAGTAAGAAGCATTTTAAACAAACATTTATTAACTCAACTATATTATTACTATTTTATATACTGTATTAGTTGTGCTAACATTGCTTGGGGTGGTACTCAAAAAAAGTAAATTGAAGACACTATATTTTCAACAGAAACATATTGCACATCTTATAAGTTTCAAAAATCGTTTTATTTAAAGCCTCTCTTACTTAACATGAATATTCTAAACATATATCAAGAAAATGTTTTGAATGTTTTTTATGTTTAAATATAAAAGCAACTAATCTTCAACTTTCTTTCAAAAATAAATATTCCTGAAGAAATGATAATTTCTTAAAAATATTCCTTAAGAAATGATAATTAAACAACCATTTATCCGAACTTTAATGAATCTTGCATTTTTTTCCGTTTTTTATGGAAAAAAGTTATAGTAATAAATTATCACACAGCATAAAATAACTTAATTTATATTATAAATTATCTTTCATTTATTTTATAAATTTTTTTTATAAATATTTATTTTATAGATTATATTTTATTTAACTTTCTCAATAACAACTAAAATTCTTTTTAGAAAAAACAACAACCAACCACAATGAGCTCATTTTTTGATGATTGTTGCGACTTACTGATGGTGTCTATTTTACTTTCCCACTCCTCCATTTCCTTTATAAAAAAATTAAATATTTTAAAGTATTAATTATATATATATATATAAATAAATAAATATATATATATATATATATATATATATATATATATATATATATATATATATATATATATATATATATATATATATATAATTATATATATACACACACATATATATGTATATATGCGTGTATCTGTATGTCTGTACATAAAAGCATAGATATATAAATATACATGCATAAGTATATAAATATACATACACACATACATACATACATACATATTTAAATCTATTATTTTATTATAAAAATATATTTTTTATACTAATTTTTGTTATTTTTATTTATTTATTTTATATTATATTTCATTTTAAACTTCATCTATTTACAAAAACGATTAATTACAGTAATATAACCAAATCTAAACCTTGCCGTAACCCTAACCCTAAGCCTGACCTTGATGCCTGGCCTAACCAAACCCTCAGTCGTTGTAGATGCACTGCCTTGCGAGTCAGGCAAGGGAGTGCTGCTACATTGACTGAGGGTTTGATTAGGGTGACCATTATTTTTAAAGTTTTAGAATTGGACTGTCTTAGTCCCCTAAAGGTGTTCCTTTATATGTAAAAAAAACTCAGACCAAATCTTGACAATATTTATAATTTTTTTATAATTTATAATAATTGAACAATATTTTGAGGTAGCTCAATGATATCAAAGTATCAAAGTTGTACTGTCACTCGCAAGTATGAAATATGCTCCTCTAACTCCTAGAAGTTACTGAATCGAATACAATTTTGAGATGATTTCTAATGTTATTGTTATTGTTTCCATCATAGCAAACAATGTTCTATGCTGATTAATATAATTAATAACTGGAGGGCAGTTACAGAAACTCCAGCTTGCTGCAAAAGATGTAGAAATCTTGTTGTCACGCCACAACTTGCAGCCGCATTGGACTGAATGAAGGTTTCAAACCGTAAAGCAGTTTTTGTTATCGCAGAAACAATCAAGAGTGTTGGCCACAGCCTTGATAACTACGTGAACACGAATTCTATTTGACTATGGCGGCAGACACATCGCACTTTTCAATCAGCCAAGTTATAGGAAAGTTATAGGAGTTCAAAGGAGAATCTTTACTTGTCGTTCATTGGGATGGTAAACTCATGCATGAATTAACTGGAAACAAGAAAGTGGACCATCTTCCAGTTATAGTATCAGGAAAACAATTCTCTTAGTTACTCACTGTCGCTAAACTGCCATCTGTAACTGGCCAAGCCCAAGCCTCTGTCGTATTTGAAGCTCTGAAAAGCTGGAATGTTGGTTCTAGGATCAATGCCATGTGCTTTGACACAACAAGTTCAAATCCTGGCAGAAGCATGAGGGCATGCATTCTGCTAAAACAAATGTTTGGCAAGGAGATGCTATATTTGGCATGTCATCACAACATTTCGGAGCTTGTAGTTGGTGCAGTTTTTCAGGCTTATATCGGATCAACTTCAGGCCCTGAAGTTCTGCTTTTTAAGCGCTTTCAAACTTGATGGGTGTTCGTTGACCAGGAAAGATACGATATTAGCATGTCTGATGGTAAAAATGCATGCTTGTTGTATGACATAAAATCTGATATCATAAAGTTTGTCAACAAGCAGTTAGAAGAGCAACTGTCACGAGACGACTACAGAGAGTTTGAAAAACTGGTGCTGATCTTCCTGGAACAAATCCCATGCAGAGGAGTGCGTTTCAGGAAACTTGGAACAATGCACCATGCATGCTGAATGTCAAAGGTCATCTACTCATTGAAAGTATGGATGTTTCTTTCACAATTTGTTCTGACACCAAACTAAGAAAAAAGCCAAGTGTGTGTCTTTGCAGTCCGTCTGTACCTAGAAGCATGGATGGATACACTTTTTTAGGCAGGGACTAGGAGAAGTCAACTCCAACTTAAAACACCCCTGTCTTGGGGCTCTTGGTTGAGTAAAAGCTAGAGATAGTGACTCGATAAAAATACTCATCTTAGTCAGATTTTAAATGCATCCGTCTTACAGAAGGATGTTTTATAAGACAGATGTTAAATGATTTTCTTAACTCAATGCATGGGTTTTGCTTGTGACTCTGTTTTTTATGATTAGACAACTCATTATATTATCTCCTAATGAGGTTATAGCTCTAAAACTCAGTTTTATGGTTCTAAGGACAGCAGGTCATCAGGTTTCTTGAACTCTGTGATAGCTCTTAGAGAGACTGATTCCATCAACAGCTGTAAAATATCAGAGTACTAAAGGTGCCATACTGCCTATGGATGGTGCCCCTGCTTGTACTTTTAGTGTGCATTGTTCAAGCCCGCATTTGGAGCCCTTTGTTACAGTTTAGGGGTCATTAATAGTAATGAGGCAATTGCTTGATCTATTAGATAGTGTAATGAGTACTATCTATGCTTTGAGTCAAATTCTTTAACAAATTTAAAAATGAATTAAGTACCAAAAACTTTAAACACAAAAAACCATTGTCATCACCAAGTTCTCTAAACCTATCATTCACTAATATTTATGGAATTCAAAGTAACTTTTCTTATGTTGAGTCTTATCTCTTGCAAAGTTCACCAGACCAACTTGCTTTTTGTGAGACTAATTTGAGTTCAGCTTTCTCTTCTAGTGATCTTAGTGTTGATGGTTATCTTCCTTTAATTTATAAAGACTCCAATAGTCACATGTTTGGCATGGTTATTTACATTTGTAAGTATTCACCTATTTGTCAAGAAACTAGGTATGAATATACAGACTATTCTTTTATATGTTTTTGTTTAGTACCACTTCACTCTATCGCTTTTCTCTTTGTTCTATATTGCTCTCCTTCATCTCAAGACTGGGCTCTTTTCAATGTTATTTCTGATCAAATTAACCAAACCCTCTCTATTTATCCTTAAGCCAACATCATTATTGTTGGTGACTTTAACGTTCATCACACTGAATGACTTGGCTCTATTGTCAGTGACTCTGTGGCATTAAGGCTCGCAACTTTTGCCTTTCTCAATCTCTAACACAAATAGTCAACTTTCCAACTCGCTTTCCGGACAATCCGAATCATTTACCTTCTCTACTCTACTTACGTTTTGTTTCTGATCTTAGTCAGTGCTCAGTTTCTCCACATTCACCCTTAGGTGCTTCTGATCAAGGTTTAATCTCAAGTCACATAACTTCTTGGATTCAGGCTGGTGTGAAATTTTTTATTCCCTCTTGATGATTCCAAGTCAAGCCTCACTCTTCTCCAAGGTTTTCCTCTTATTGAGCTGCTGCAATTTCAAAACCATTACTTCCATATATTTCAGCAAAACAATTCTCCAGAAAACAGACGCCTGTTTACTATTGCTAGAAACCATTGTAAAAAAGTTTTGTCTAACGCCAAAGTCAGCTATTCTCAGGTCATGAAATCTTGTATTTCATCTCAAAATTAGGCTCTTGTGACTTCTGGAGAATTTTTAACAGTATCAATAAGGGCAAATCTGTTATTTCACCTCTCTTGTATGGTTCAGACTTTGTCACCTCACCTAAAGACAAAGCTGAATTGTTTGCTAAGAACTTTTCACCAATATCAACTCTTGATTCCACTAGTTGCGTTCTACCTGATATAGCCGTCAAACATGTTGATCCATTGCTTGACATTCATATCACTTCAGCTTCTGTATCTAAAGTTATTTCCTGCTTAAACTCAGCTTACAGCTATACAGCTTGTGCCAGACAACATACCTGTTGTAGTCTTGCAAAAGTGTTCTCCGAAGATGTCATCTATACTTTCAAAACTATTTAACAAATGCTTATTGGAGTCTTGTATTCCAGTATGCTGGCAAGCGGCATCTGTTATTATGTTTTCAAAAATTCTGGAGAGCAATCTGACTCGTCTAACTACCATTCCATTTGTCTTCTTTCTATCATAAGCAAGGTTTTTGAATCTTTAATTAATAAACACATAATCTCTCATCTTGAATGTAATAACTTACTTTCTAATCATCAATATGGATTTGGATCTTCTTGTTCTACAGCTGATTTGCTAACAGTAATAACCGATAAGTTTTATTGTGCATTAGATAGAGATGGAGAGGTTAAGGCTATTGCTCTTCACATTTCTTCAGCTTTTGATAAAGTTTGGCATGCTGGTCTTCTCCAAAAGCTTTCTTCTTACTGTGTATCTGGTAACATCTTTAAGGTTATTGAGCCCTTCCTTTCCAATCATAATATCACTCTTCTTCATATCTTGTAATTTTAGGGGTTCCTCAAGGTTCTATCCTTGGTCATATACTCTTTACATTAATGAAACATCATTAATTTACATTAACTATGTTCTAGATATTCTCATATCTAAGGTAACATTGTTCACTGATGATATGACCATTTATTCTTATCTTGAAAAGGAGCCAACACTCTCTGGTTGCTTGGAGGGGACATTTGAGCATAAAAAGGATCTTATTTCTACTACAGCATGGGGCTCACAGTGGCTGGTGAACTTTAATTCAGATAAAACCCAATATTTTTCAACCAGTCATTACTGCAACAATTTAGATCTTCCTATATTTATGAACGGTGATGTACTCTAGGGTGTCCCAAAAAATAACGTTTTTGAAAATAATTTTCTCTCACCCCCTAAATGTGTTCTATCTAATGCAAAAACACTAGGTTTAAATTTTTTTTGAATAAAAAATATTTTAAGGGGTCCCTCAAGACCCTTGAATATTTAATGGGTCCCTAATATTTTCGAAAAAAAAGTTTTTCAAAAGTATGTCAACCTGGTACTCAAATGAAGCGAAATTATATAAAAATTTTAAAAATAATATTCATTTCGAAACAAAATTGTTATTTTTGGTTTTATTACATAAAAAATTGCGTTTTTTAAGAAAAAATGAAAAAAATGCATTTCTAATGTTTTTTTATGATAATTTTGATAAATAAGTTGAAGATATTTCGAAATTTTGGGACACCCTAATGTACTCGACGAGTCATCTACTCTTCATCTTCTAGGATTAAC